AAATTCCGTTGGAAAATTCCAACGGATATCGGTTGGAAATTCCGTTGGAAAATTCCAACGAAATTCCGTTGGAAAATTCCAACGGATATCGGTTGGAAATTCCGTTGGAAAATTCCAACGGATTGCGGTTGGAAATCCGTTGGAAAATTCCAACGGATGCCGGTAAGAAATTTTCAACGGAAAAATTCGTTGCAATTCCGTTGAAAATTCCAACGGTTTTCCAACGGACACCGATTTCTAACGACGAAATTCCAACGGATAAATCCGTTGGAAACGTTAATTTCCAACGGAAATTTGGCCATTTCCAACGGATTTACCCGTTGGAAATGACCATTTTTTTTGTAGTCAGTGCATGCACTTGTAATATTCTAAGCGTGTCCGAGCGGTCAAGTTGTGGATGACTTTCAATTTCAGGTTGAGTGTTCGATTCTTGGCTAGAAGAAAAAGAGATAATTTCTGAATCTATATAGTTCATATACAAAGGTTGTTCCCGTGCTGGAGGTTTACCTAGTCAGCACGTCCGAAAGATAGCAGATAGGGGTCCTCCGTTATAAGAAAAATATTCTAAACATGTGACCAAAAGTTAATAATAAGAAAGATGCGTTATTAAACAATAGACACAAAATTCTAGATTGTGTGGTTTAATTAGTAAAACTTGCGATCTAGATTTGAGTCTTCATTTGAAAAGGGATATTTACCTATATTTTTCCGATTCTCTGAAAAAATTAATTGGATGGAAGTTTCGTTGAACTTACGAATTACTAAAAAAAATAATAGGTGCAGCCATTCCATATTTTTGGCATTGCTCCATTGAAAAGCTTACTATATATATATATATATATATATATATATAATACACAACGGATAAATTTTGTTTTTATAATAAATTTAACTTATTTTTTGTATTGTGATTTCTATGTTATGCTTTAATGAACCAAATTGAAATGGAGAACCAAATGGGCATGAAATGAGAAGAAAAACGGTATAATCACTATTTTAAACTGGAGTTGCATGTTTCAAAAATCGGTTCCTTATATTTTAAAGAAAAATTCAGATTTGTGTGGTGGCCTAAAGCCCAAAGTAATAATATGAATGAAAATTACTATTTTTTATATAATGAAATATTTTCTGAGATCAATTTTCACTAAATTCTTGGATTTGAATCAAAGTAAAGCTCAAATTCAACCACTGCTAAGGCGATGGGAAACATACCGTTGAGATTTTACATCACCTCGACCCATCGTACCATAAAGTGTACCGATAGAATTTTTTTTTATAGAAACTATAAAGTAAAATAAGAAAGTTTGTAATTTGTAAATATTTATTATAAAATTATTTTTTTAAAAGAAAATTTATGAGGAAAAAACACAGAGAGGTGGAAAAGAAATCATTCTTTTTTTTGGTCCAATAGAAAGCGAAACCGCGTGGTGTCTTTTCCTCGACATTCACGTTGTACGAGAAGAAAATGCGTTTAATAAAACAACGGCCTAATTACGACCACAAAAATTGTGTATTTAGTTTAATTATATAATAATTAAGACATCTAATATTAGCTATTATAGTTGAAAAGAAAATGATTCTTTAATAGTTTGCAAAATAAAGCATCCAAGTACTAATCAAAACCGTTGAAATTAAACATTGGTTTTGTCTTATGAATGATGATATTTGACTGTTAATAATCGATTATATGTGAATTGGTTCCGTACCTATTAGACATTTAGCGTTTGATTTATGGCATATATTTTGGATTAAGTGTCAAGCAATATGAACGAAATAAATAAATTTCCCACAATAAACACTGGGACACATTTTTTGACTAAACAAAAATAGTTTAGGACAAAAATAGTTTATAAGAAATTATTATCCTTGGATATTTCGGTTTCGACGATATTTCATTCCCAACTTAAATTTTTTTTATTTATTTAATTTTATATCAATGGGTTCCTTTCAAATTTTATTCTATTTAGTTGGATTTACTTATTTTATTAAAATAATATTTGGTTTCTAAAAAGTCATATTTATTCATTTTTTATTATTTTAATATTTTATATGAACCCGATCAATTTAATTTTAAAAAATATATTTGAGTTGAATTAAATTCTAGACAAATTCCATTTCTGTAACGATAATCGTAAATGTCCATATAAAATATATCTTTGTATTTCTTCTTGGACCGTCGGCGTGCGTAGAGTCCTTTTGATCAGTATAATTAGAAGTTGATTATTTCGTTTAGTTTCGGCACTTTGAATGACGAATTCTGTACTTTGTTCATATTGACTCCTTGCCATGCGCTATCTAATAAATCCATCATTGAATTTATTTACGCTAATTTTGGATAAATTTTATAAAAATATATTGTAAAATGTTGTCCCATATATATATGCGCACCGTTCAACAAACATTGACCTCTGTTATATTAAAAGATGAGATTTTAAACCGATAATAGTATTAAAATTGAATTTGGTTTAAAACTGATTAGATATAGTTTTTAAATCAAATTAATTTGAATCCAGAGCAGATAATTACTATATATTTTTATTCATAAAATAAAACCATCGTGATATATATATTTGTTAGTAGAATGTAATTTAAAGCAATATTATGTTATAGCATTAGGAAAATAAAATGGATAATGGATATGATCCGAAACTTAACCTGATCGTCAGGTTGATTCATATTTTAACCGAGTTTAGTATGAAATGTAAGAGATACATTACAAGTCAACCTGTCCGAACAAAAGTGTACACGTGCATTAGTATTTCTTTGTCTGTAACTTTGGTTAGGTAACTTGAGTTACACGGAAACAAAATGACAAAAATGAAGGAAAAAAATCTACATCTCACAATATTATTAGCACCCTCACCCTAAGTAGTAAAAAAAAAATAACGTCCTTCCACTACAAAAATATAAGTGAATATATATAATTATATATATATATATATATATATATATATTTAATTACACGTTAAAACGTTCTAAATAATTCTAAATAAAATAAAAAGATCGAAACGTCCATTTCAAATGATGTATCGGACATCTTCAATAAAAAAAAAAAAAATTTAAAAGGTTTATTGGTGTTAGGTATCTGAATCATTGACGCACACCCTCAAACTACATTATTACATTCTGGAAAATAAAAAATTAAAGCTTTTAAAACTACATCTATACAGAACACTTTTAATAAAATAGATTTTTTTATAAGTACAAAATTATAAGATAGAAAAGATACAATCTTTTTTTGCAGACACAATTTGTCGAAAAAAAAGCTAATTTTATAAAATTGGCAAAAAGATATTATGCAACGGAGCAAAAACAAATTTTCGACTAAAATATGCATTCTCTACCTGTCATAAAAGCCCAAACCAAAACAAGGCCCGTTCAATGGCTAAACAGAGGTTGCGAAAGATCAAAACTGGGCTTTCTGGCACAATTCTTTTCTTCTGGGTCATTTTTATAATTTGTAAAACAATGTTTCGGGCCGAACAATCGACAATCCGTCGCATGAATGGTTCAGAGCATTAGGACATTTTTTTAAAGCTTCTTCTTCCGATTGGACACGTGGAAGAAGACCAAACGGATCTCAGATTACTTACTCATCCATTACGGTCTTCGTAAACTTTTTTTTTTTTTGTTAACGAGTCTTCGTAAACTTGCTACCGAAGCAAAAATCGATTTCGATACGAACGAGCGAGAGAGAGGAGGAAACAGAGACTTTCTGTCTGAAACAGAGGTGGTTTCAATAGACACGAAGCTGCCAAGTAAACCTGTAAATCCATGCATGGAAGACACGTGTCGTCTCCCCCTCCCCCTACTTAACACACGCCCCATCACACTTTCTCATCACAACGCAGAGAAACAGAGGGATTGAGGCTTTGATCCCCCGAGAGAGAGAGAGAGAGAGATGGGGAAGAACAGAATTGCTTTGTTTCTGCTTCTGCTTGTATTCATCCATGGAGTGATGATTATGACAGCAACTGGGTATGAAGAAGAAGCAGAAGAAGAATATGTGTGGGGAAGTGAAGGAGAAGGAGAGCAATGGGGAAGAGGAGAAGAAGGAGAAGAAGAGTGGGGAGGAGGAGGAGGAGAGAAAGGACGGTTCTTGATGAGAGAGTCAAGGCAAGTGATCAGAACAGAGGCCGGTGATATGAGAGTTGTCTTATCACCAAGGGGAAGAATCATTGAGAAGCCAATGCACATTGGGTTCCTCACCATGGAACCACAGAGCCTCTTCGTCCCTCAGTACCTTGACTCTAGCCTCCTCATCTTCGTCAGAAGAGGTCCCCTCTCTCTCTCTCTCTCTCTCTCTCTCTCTCTCTCTCTCTGTATATATATATATATATATGTAAGAAGGGTTTCTTGTTGCAGGTGAAGCGAGGCTTGGTGTGATGTGCGAAGACGAATTCGGAGAGAAGAGACTGAAGGCAGGTGACATCTACTGGATTCCGGCTGGTTCCGTCTTCTACTTGGTCAACACCGGCATCGGTCAACGCCTCCACGTCATCTGCAGCATCGACCCCGCCGATAGCTTGGGTTTGGAAACCTTCCAGGTAATATCAATTGCCGAGTTCAAATCATTAAGATTACATTTCCGTTGTATATTGACTGATATCACTAACTTGTAATCTGTATGTATTTTTGTATAGTCTTTCTACATAGGCGGAGGAGCTCACCCTCCGTCTATTCTCTCCGGCTTCGACATCGACACATTAGCAACTGCATTCAACGTAAGTAATCCACTTGTCCTAAGGATCATAAACAAAGATCCTCATCCATATATGGGTTTCGGAAAATTATGGAGAGTTCACATAATTTATATTGTTTATCTTGTTTTAGGTCTCGGGAGCCGAGCTGAGGCAAATGCTAACGGGACAAGTCGGAGGCCCGATCGTGCATATCGCGGGAGGGGAACGGGCTCCCGCATTGTGGACCAAATTCTTGGAATTGAGAGATGAGGAGAAGCATATGCATCTTAAGAGGATCTCGGGGATGAGCCGAGAATCCTCATCGGGTTATCGGGAAACCGAGGAACACAGCGGGTGGATGTCGTGGAGGAAACTGCTGAGATCGATGTTGTCTCGCGAGGGGACGAATAGGAAAACGCGGTGCGAGGACTCGTACAACATCTACGACCGGAAGCCAGATTTCAGAAACGACTACGGATGGAGCATAGCCCTCGATTCCGCGGATTACCGGCCCCTCAAGCACTCCGGGATCAGTGTCTATCTCGTTATTCTTAATGCGGTAACCCCACATATGAATCTATTCAGTCAATCACATGGATATATTGTTAGTAATTACATGATATCTGAAGAAGCATGCTCTGTTTTAAGTGGATAAGGCTGTACATTCTCATTTGAGATGATTTTAAACTGTCACATTTTCAGGGATCAATGATGGCACCTCACATGAATCCAACGGCTACCGAATACGGCGTCGTTTTGTCGGGGGCCGGCGACATCGAGGTCGTTCTCCCGAACGGGAAACTGGCCATGAAGAGGAGAGTAGCGGAAGGAGACGTCTTCTGGATTCCCCGGTACTTCGCCTTCTGCCAGATTGCCTCTCGGACAGGACCGTTCAAGTTCTTCGGGTTCACCACCTCAGCCCGGAGGAACCGTCCGCAGTTCTTTGTGGGCTCGAACTCGCTCCTTCGGTCGCTCAATATCCCGGAGCTGGCTGCGGCTTTCGGGGTCGATAACGATACGATGAGACGGTTCGTAGGGGCCCAGGGAGAGGCCGTTATTCTGCCTACGGCTGGGGCCGCACCTCCCGACGTGACAGAAAAGAAGGCAAAGACGAGTAAGGTGGCGAAGAAAGTGATTGATGGAGTGATGGGTCTCTTCTGATTTCTGAGAGGGGAAATGTCATGAAGTTGCTTTTATTTTTAGAGTTTTTTTTTTATAAATGTTTTTATGTTTCTCTCCTCTTTTGAAGTCCATGCATGCATGCATGTGTGTACGTAAAATACTTGTATGTTTTTTTTTTTCAATTTTCTTAATGCAAGTTTTTGGTGTTGTGGACGAGAAGACTTCATATCCACTGTAAACTACCGAGAGAAATTTTTTTTTACAAAAAAATCAAAGCAAAAAGAACACGAAAAGTGGAGAAACCAGACAGAAACTTGAGCTCCGGCTTTGAAGAACAGAACAAACGTTATACGAGAGTCTTCGTTGATCGGTCAAAACCCTCTCTCTGATTCGGTGACTTCACTTCTACCGAATCCTCGGCTGCAATCAGAGGCTTCACCTGTTAAGATCGACGGTAAACGCGAATTTATTCAGTGCTCTTGTTAACAAATAGCCCTATGAAATATTTATAGACTAGTCCAATAAAGACAGGCCATCTGAAGGGCCACTTTATAAGGCCATTATTAGGGCCCATTATCATGGAACCCATATATGATCAAAATAATGCCTTCGTGAATTTCTGTCTGTGACGTCAAACCCTAGCCCTAACGCACGCTTCTCTCTTATAAATACGCTCGCATCGTTTTGGGCTGTACCCTAGTTTTGCATTGTTTCGTCAGCCGCTCACAACTCTCCGGCAGTTTTTCCTAGCTCTTGTTTAAGGTATCTGAATCTGATCACCACATTTAGATTATGTTTTTTTCCCTCATTTCTCCCTTTCGTATTTGTTGATCATGTTCTAATCGAGTTGATCTGATGTTTTGTATACTGATTTGGTCCATTTTTGTTGTATGTTCATATAGTCTCTGTTCGCATCCAGGGTTTTTTTGTGGATTGTAATTGTATTAGCTGATTGGATCCTCGTTTGTACGTGATCAATGATAAAACGTTGGATTTTTTTTATTTCGGTGGGATCGTATTTTCGTTTTATGTTTTTGCTTAACGCGTTAACTATTTGAAATTGTGCAAGAATTTTTTTATAGTCAAATTCCGATTTATTACTTGTTGTGTTAAGTCTGTTTGCCTATAGATCCGAAGGATTAAAGTTGATTTTCAAAATATTCTTGTTCATAATGATCTGGGTTTTACGAGAATGACCGTGATTTGTTTTTCGATTCCGGGTTTTGTTCTCTAGCTATATTGAGATTGTTTGTTTTTTTTGCAATCTCCTCGAGCTATATTATATTCCTTTACCTTGAAACTGCTTATTTAGCTTCATGACATATAGATCTCTTTAAAATTGTTTGTTTGTTTAATCGTAGTAATTAGCCATGGGTAAGGAAAAGGTTCACATCAACATTGTGGTCATCGGCCACGTCGACTCTGGTAAGTCGACCACCACGGGTCACTTGATCTACAAGTTGGGAGGTATCGACAAGCGTGTGATCGAAAGGTTCGAGAAGGAGGCTGCTGAGATGAACAAACGGTCCTTCAAGTATGCGTGGGTGTTGGACAAGCTCAAGGCAGAGCGTGAGCGTGGTATCACCATCGACATTGCCCTCTGGAAGTTTGAGACCACCAAGTACTACTGCACTGTCATCGATGCCCCTGGCCACCGTGACTTTATCAAGAACATGATCACGGGTACCTCCCAGGCTGACTGTGCCGTCCTCATCATCGACTCCACCACTGGTGGTTTTGAGGCCGGTATCTCCAAGGACGGTCAGACCCGTGAGCATGCTTTGCTTGCTTTCACCCTTGGTGTCAAACAGATGATCTGCTGCTGCAACAAGGTAATGTATAATGTTTTACTATTCTGCAACTGTCGTATTGAATGTATTTACCTTGATCCTGTTGTCTTTATCTCTGTTTATATGTGAATCACCAGATGGATGCCACCACCCCCAAGTACTCGAAGGCTAGGTATGATGAGATCGTGAAGGAAGTGTCCTCCTACCTGAAGAAGGTTGGATACAACCCAGACAAGATCCCCTTTGTTCCCATCTCTGGGTTCGAGGGTGACAACATGATCGAGAGGTCCACCAACCTTGACTGGTACAAGGGTCCGACCCTACTCGAGGCTCTTGATCAGATCAACGAGCCCAAGAGGCCATCAGACAAGCCCCTCCGTCTCCCGCTTCAGGATGTCTACAAGATTGGTGGTATTGGAACTGTCCCTGTTGGTCGTGTTGAGACTGGTGTCCTCAAGCCTGGTATGCTTGTGACCTTTGCTCCCTCTGGTTTGACCACTGAGGTCAAATCTGTCGAGATGCACCATGAGGCTCTCCAGGAGGCTCTCCCCGGTGACAATGTCGGGTTCAATGTGAAGAATGTTGCTGTCAAGGATCTCAAGCGTGGTTTCGTTGCATCCAACTCAAAGGATGACCCGGCCAAGGAAGCTGCCAGCTTCACCTCTCAGGTCATCATCATGAACCACCCTGGTCAAATCGGTAACGGATACGCCCCGGTTCTTGACTGCCACACCTCCCACATCGCTGTCAAGTTTGCCGAGATATTGACAAAGATCGACAGGCGTTCCGGTAAGGAGCTCGAGAAGGAGCCTAAGTTCTTGAAGAACGGTGATGCTGGTATGGTTAAGATGGTTCCGACCAAGCCCATGGTTGTCGAGACTTTCTCCGAGTACCCGCCGCTCGGACGATTTGCCGTCAGGGACATGAGGCAGACCGTCGCCGTCGGAGTTATCAAGAATGTTGAGAAGAAGGACCCGACCGGAGCTAAGGTAACCAAAGCTGCGGCCAAGAAGGGTGCCAAGTGAGTGGCGATGTCCGTTTGAAGGAGTTTTTAGCGTTAGTCTCTGTTTGTTGTGTTAAGTTTTTATTGAACCTTGACGATTTCATGGTTTATAATTTGCTCTTCCATTTTTGGATTAATGTTCAATTTAATTTTCTCTGTTATCGCCCATCATTTTCCTCTTATGTTTGTTTCATCTTTTTCATTTGTTTGGTTTATTAATAGCAAACGCCATCGAGATTAATTTGCTGTAATTAAAAAAAAATGCAATCCACCTAACATGGTTATAATTGAAAATTGAAAAGAGAAATAATAAATAGGGTTGGGAAAATCGGCGGCCCGACAAAGAACAAGCGATGCAACGAACATGGAAGATATGAGTGCGGATTGTCCTGAGCACTCAACAACACTCGCCGCCGCCGCCGCCTTTGACAATCTCCGCGGTAGGAGCAAGCATCGGCACCAGCTCCTGCCCTTCCTTATTCGCCGCGATCAAGAACCTCCCCGGCCCATTGAGAGCCAGCAAGAGATCGTCATCGGTGGTCTCACCGTCCATTCCGTTCTGCTTCATGCTGATGATGAACACAAGACCGGGAGAGGCGGGAGGCACGGCCTATAGATCTCGAAACGAGAAATTGCAGAGCAGGTCTCGACGATCTTGATGTAATACATAATGAGAATATAACTATAATTAAGGAATATAATTCTCATTCTTATAAAATAATTTTTATTGATATCCGATCCAAATTCAAATCCAATTCTCTATGGATGAGAATATGAGTATGAATTATGATTAAGGAATACAATTTTGAGATAATTGTTATAAAATATTTTTTGTTGAGTCCAAATTCAAATTCAAATCCATATATTTTTTATATACTATGAAATGGTAGAATTATCAAATGAAATGGTAGAATTATCAAATAAATTTTGTAGTGATATATTTTTCTCTATTCACTATTGATAATATAAACCCAAATAAATCAAATGAATTTAGTGAGAATAAATTTTCAGCCATTAAATGTGCTAAAGAAATTATGATCTCTTTTCTTTCATTGAAAGTATTTAAAAACATAGCACCGAATTTGATTATATATACACATATACTTATATATTACATACTATATAATATAGGCATCTTGGATGCATATATATACACATCAGATCATGACTTTGATCATATAACACTAAAACATAATTAGATAAATTTTTTCATACTCTTGAGGAATTTAAAAGACAACACATCATTACAAATTTCAAATTGAAATAGAATTTATTTACCCAAAAAAAAAAAGGAAATAGAAGAAGGTAAATGCATTGAGCATTACAAATTCCGACTCATATTATAATGAAACTGGACAGGTATTTTAATGTAAATTTTGCATTACAATGAATGGAAAATTTTTAAATCTCGATAAATGGAATTTTAAATACTATTTTAAAATCTCAATAAATGGAATTTTCAACGGTGACAATAACGAGAACTATTCCAATATATGTTGAATACTTACCACTTTTCTGTCTGAAATTATAATAAAACATATAAACTAGAACCCACTTTAAAAAAAAAAAACAATAGCACTTCTCAGGTCATATTCCAATTCCAATTTTTAGATTCTTAATTAATTAAAAAAAAGTAGTATTTTTTTCCTTTGATGGGCCATTAATATTGGGTTTAAACGGATGCATTCGTATTTGGGCTTTTCTTTTGGGCCGATGGGTTTAATGCAAATTATAGGCCCATTGAAAACAATCGCCAAGGTCAATCATTTTTCAATTAATAAATCTTATCCATTAGTGGTGTTATATTATATCAACAATGTTAACAAATGGAATGAACTGAATATATGTGGTAATAAATATGACTACATTTTTTTTAATTAAAATATTAAGAAACAATTTATACCGACGTGTATTTCTATGGACTAATATAAAGGGAAAATGAATTGTTGTCCCCCCTCCCCCACACACAAAAATGATATTAATTTAATAAATAGAATTGTTTAATAAAAATAATATAATAAAAAGGAAATTTGACTTTTGGTTTACGAAGCCTATACAGCCACATAGTCGTTCATGAATGACAAAAATGTCTTGAAGTGCGATCATGCATGTAATCCACCATTCTTTTGAAAAAACATGTCCATCCATCCATCCATCCATCCATCCATCCATACATACATACATACATAGATACAAGGAAGATTGTGTGTGCAGGTGAGCTACTTGTGGGTATGAGACCACTACCAAAAAATGGGCCATTATCCCAAGACGCGCGTCACATGTGGTTAGGACAGGACAACCATCAACCTTGTCTCTATTCACGATCTGCCCAAAATTCTAACAATCAACTTATTCATTTTTTTTTTAAATTGACCAATAAATTAAGAAAAAATATAAACATTATTTTGTTGGGATGTGAGGTAAGAAAATGCATTATTGAGTTATATAATATAATCTAATATTATGCGTTTTTGTAATATGACGTCAAATAATTAATTCTCACATGGTGTTTGAATATATAGCGATGGGCCATCTATTTTGACGATTCGTTGACTAATTGATGCTGCGTTCTTTCCAATATAGAAATATTGATATAATTGATCCAGCTAGTTTGTGATAATAGAAAATTTTGAAGTATACAATCCTTTTGAACTAATGATACGACGGTCTATGCATGGGAGTTTTGGTTCATTTTATTTGTTGTTACGTAAATATTTTATATTATTGTCTGGTTGTTTCTTCCAAAAGATATTGATGGGTTATTTAAAATAGTTTTTTAGTTTATAATATTTATCCGTGTTTTACAATAATAATATATATTTATCTCGGTTTAATATCGGATTTTGACTTGAATTAATTTTTGGTTTTATTAAAAAAATATTTATATTTCTAAAAAATAACCTGTTTTTTGGATTATTTTAAATTTAGAATCAATTTGAATCGAATTTGATCAGTTTATTTTAGAAAATAATAATAATAATCTATAATTTTTGAAATTATTTAAATTTTATATCGAATTATATAATAGTTAATTTAATTCAAATTTAAGTTTAATTTAATTATGTGCATATAAACTGTCCTTGCCACGGGTGATAGGATCACCATGATTATATATATGAAAGTTATATATACTTTTCTACACATTTAAAGAAAGGATAAATTGTAAACAATTGGAAAATATAAAAAAAAAAAATAATGATAATCAAATTCTTTAGTCAATTATTTCCGGCAATATATCAATGGAAACATGAGTGCGTGTGTTGTGAGTGTGAACAGAAACATGTGACTCTTTTTTACGTTTACCAAAATGGGACAGAGGGATTAGGACTAATTATCTATTTAGCCAAATAATCGTTTTCCCGTGACATCGAAGAAATAAATTAATTTGCACTTCCTTTAAATATTATATCTTAGTTTCACAATTTTTCAATAACATTTTCAAAGAAAAATAACTTAGAGTACATTATATATTTTTAAAATAACGTGACAAACAAACTATATTTAAGATTTACTTTGCTCTTTTTGAGTTACAAAATGCTAAATATTTTTTTAAAGATAAATCTAGATTAAGAATCTAAAATATTTCATTACCAAAAAATCTATACCTTTTAATTAATAAAATAATCAATTCTAAAATTGCAGAGGAAATTTAATTACAGACTTTAATCTGTTAAATAAATATAATATTTTTTTATTAAACTTTAAAATAACGTAGAATTGAATGTTGAAGACCTAATTAAGGCACGATGAATAATTATTTTACCATTATTATGACATTTATAAAGCTCGAAATCTAGACCCTATGTTTTTACAGATTGAAATTAAGTCACAAAAAATTATTTAAAAATCTGAAAGCCCCCGTTTTTGCTCAATTGGATCAAACAAACACCGACGACATTCGACACTGCAAAAAAAAAAAGATCATAGATTTTTTCATGCCTATCCGTTTAAATGTTTTTTTTGAAACATGCAAACTATGTTTCCGTTGATTGCCATATATATATATATATATATACACACACATATATATAGTGTGTGTGTGTGTGTGTGTGCATGCAGATGTGCATGGTGAAACTACCACTCTACCAAACATATTTAAGGCAACCCAACCATTATGGCATAACTACCCACGAAACCAATGTAATAACAAATGTTAAGGAAATCAGGAACAAAAGCTTCCATAGATTTATAAAATGATATTTTTTTCATTAACGATTTCATATGGATAATGATAATGATAATAATAATAATAATAATGCAATTATTAGAAAAAAAATACATATCCAGTTTTAGTTCGAACAAAGAAACCCCCGTTGTCGGTGGGCAAAAAAAAAAAAAAAAAAAGAAATATCACTTGTCGCTGATTTGGTGCCGCGAGACAAGATTTGAGAGTGACATGTAGGAGGAGTTTTTTTTTTTTAATTTTTTGACATGCGATGATGCTATAATCTGATTTTGTTTGTCTAATTAATAACTAATATCGACTATTTTGGTAAGAAAAGTACCAATGATTTAATACCAATGATTAATGTTTTTCTTGTTTTTTCTTGTAATTTGTGATATAATATGTTTATATCAAGTAAATTTACACGTCTGATAAACCATTTAAATATTTTTAGTGAAAGATTTAGACAACCAAAAATCTTTTATATATTGGTTCATTATGATTTGAACCGAAAACAAAAAAAAATGATAGATACATATATGCCACTAAACCACATGCATGCATGTTCTCAATATTCTCTTGTTTGATGGCATTTATTTTATTTTATTTTAAATTCAAGAAATAGTTCTAATATGGAATGAGATAACAAACAATATAACAAGGACTAAAGGAAAAAAAACCAAGGATGTCACAACAACAAAATCATATATCACCAGATTTTGATTTTTTATTTATTTATGAAATATCAGTTTAATTGAAAATTTATAGACATCATTTGTTTTATTTATAGGCAGGCACATGTATCGACGCGATTCATCATGCTCACAATGCCTTAATTCTGTTTTTTTTTGTTTTTGTTAAAATAAGTTCTGTTTGAGTCAGTTTATATTACAAGATGAATATAAATATATATATATATCTTAATATCGATTTATGCATTATGATTTTTTTTTTAAAATATAAAAATTTAATAGATCCAACTTTCAAACCAAAAGAATTCAAATAAAAATAATCGAAAAACAAGTGAAAACCCAAAATACATTCCGTTGAGGATTGTGGTTTTTATGTAATTATTTATTGTTTGAGACGATTACGTAATTATTTTCAACGAATTGCGGGCAGAATGTCAGGGGCTACTTGGAAAACCGTGATCCTTTCCCTCTAACGATACCAACAAAAGTCAAAAACGACCTTTGTCTTTTTTTTTTCTCCCCAAAACATTTATTTTTTAAAATATAAGTCCAAAATAAATGGATGTGTATATATAAGTCCAAAATAAAGTGTGAATGTGAAGAATGGTGTAATCCCAAAATACGTACCGATATTTTGTTAGAAAAACGCAAACATATTAAAAACCAAATATAACTAATGTAAATTGATCCAAATTTGGATCGTATATTGATAAAATAATATACAAAATATATTTTTATTTTGAATTTCAATTTAAACGTGGAAAGATACATTCATTCAGATTTTCTTATTGTTTTAAAAGATTTAATTAGGTAAAAAATTTGATAAACTTTTGGATTATAAAAAACTAATGTAGAATTAAGATTTGTAATATAATTGCGATGGTATTTCAGTTTCTATTTTCTTAAACTTTTTGACCATTGCATGTGTTTTTTCAGACATTTTCTATTATTTTATTCCTCGGCGGCAAAATATGTAACTTTTTAAGCATTTATGTTATTATATATATTTTTTTTAACAATGATTTGATATATTGTAATAATTGTTGACGAAAAAAATTGAAAATTTCTGCTCCGCGACGACATTTTCTCCGTCGGGGTGATATTTTTGTGGCAATAAATTCCCGTGGCTTTCGCGACTTTGTAACTACCACGTGTCACCTTCTGACCATCTAATAAATTCGAGGGTTCACCGTAAAACATTGTGTCGAGTAACACTCGATTGCCACCCACATTCTCTTTATAAACATACTTCGTGTGTCGATTGCTTTTAAAACGCGCGTATTCGTCACTAAACAAAACCTTAATTATCACTAAACAGTAAACACCCCGCCATTAATCTCTGAACGACTCCCACGCAAATCCGACGAAGATGACGATGAAGATGCAATACGCATATGCGTAGATGTATGTATTGGTGTATGTATATCCCGGATGAGCAAAGAGGAGGTGCGATAATCGAATCGGCGAAGCAAGAGATTATCCAGAAATCGAAGCGATAACGAGAGCGAAATCAATATATATTTTTATGTGTGTTTCTGTATGAATCTATGCTTGTATAGGTGTGTGCATCTTCGTTAATTCGTGGAAGATAAAATGCGGTAACACATAGCCGCGAAGCAACAGGTGATCCAGGGGCAGAAGCAAGGAGAGGCAGAGGGGGAATTGGTTCGAACACGCAAACGATCCTTGTTTGTGATTTGAAGCCAAATCTGTGGTGGTGTATAAAAGAGGAACAAGGAATCTCCTGGAGGAGAAGCAAACACAATGATGATTGCGGAGAAAATGGTAAGAGGAAGGAAGGTAGAGATTCTTATTCTTCTTCAGCTGTTGGTGTCGGCAATGGTGGCGACGGTGGCGTACGGCGCCAATGTGACGTACGACCACCGAGCTCTGGTCGTCGATGGGAAGAGGAGGGTTCTGATCTCCGGTTCCATTCACTATCCTCGGAGTACGCCTGAGGTACTACTATTGCGTGTGTATATATAACGCGCACACATGTATATCAGTGTGTGTATTACGGGTATGAACTGTATAGTGTATTTTCGTGTGTAGATGTGGCCGGACCTTGTACAAAAATCCAAGGATGGTGGTTTGGATGTGATAGAGACATACGTATTTTGGAATGTTCACGAGCCAGAGAAGAATCAGGTCCGTGATTTCACTTTGTTTTCATAGTTTTTCCGGTCAATTGCTGTCACGATTTTGGGGTTTGAAGGCCGGAGCACCGACTTATCATGTTCAATTGATTTTTCTTAACTACAATCTTGTGGGGAAATTTTCAGTATAATTTTGAAGGAAGATACGATTTAGTTAAATTCGTGAAGTTGGTGGCCGAAGCTGGTCTCTATGTTCATCTACGAATTGGTCCGTATGTCTGTGCTGAATGGAATTACGGGTAATGGGATTTCTGGCCCAGTTGCTTTTTTTTTCACGATTCTTCTTCCCCGATGATTTAATTCAGTGATATTGTAAAGCTTTTGACTAATTTTATCTTGGGTTTCCGAGCAGTGGGTTTCCGCTTTGGCTGCATTTCATTCCTGGAATTAAATTCCGAACTGACAATGAACCATTCAGGGTATTGTTTGGTGGTCTGTCTTTTTGTCATTTACGTCGCTGAATTGATTGGTTTTTAAGCTGGTGGAGTTTTCTTACAGGCAGAAATGCAGAGATTTACTGCCAAGATTGTGGATATGATGAAGCAGGAAAAGCTCTATTCGTCACAAGGAGGACCGATCATCCTATCACAGGTTGATGCTTGAATTTGTCAAGTCAACAGCCTTGGTCCTTGTAAAAAAATTGTATTGTGTACCTGTGGTAGGTTCTGATATTTATGATGTTTTGGATGTCAGATTGAGAATGAATACGGGAATATTGATTCAGCGTATGGACTCGCGGGAAAGAATTATATGAAGTGGTCTGCTTCCATGGCTGTTTCACTGGACACGGGTGTACCTTGGGTCATGTGCCAGCAAGCAGATGCCCCTGATCCCATTGTGAGTTCTGAGTTTCTGGGAAGTAGTGATATTTATTGTCTTGTGCTCTTTATCTTGTTTAAGAATTGCAGGTTTCTGTATTGTATGATCTGTCAAATCTCTTGCTGTTAACTTCTGACTTGGCACATTCTTTTTATTGGTCTGCTTTTCTGGATAGATCAACACATGCAACGGCTTCTACTGTGACCAGTTCACTCCTAATTCAAACAAGAAACCTAAGATGTGGACTGAGAACTGGAGTGGATGGTGAGTACTTTGTTTCTTTAGAGCTTAGTGAGTCGGTCATCTCTAAGTTGACCCTCTTTCTTGTGTTTACGGACTACCAGGTTTTCTTCCTTCGGAGAACCCCTGCCATACAGGCCAGTTGAAGACCTCGCTTTTGCAGTTGCACGGTTTTTCCAGCGAGGTGGAACATTCCAGAACTATTACATGGTACCTAGTGAACATTTTTCGCTATAAGTTTCAGTTAATCTTATTGTGGCTACTCTCCCATAGTTTCTACAAGGCAATATCGAGAAGACTGATTCGTTAAATTGGTTTTTTCCTTTGCCTTGCTCAGTACCACGGCGGTACAAACTTTGGCAGGAGCACTGGAGGACCCTTTATTACTACTAGTTATGACTACGATGCTCCAATTGATGAGTATGGTATGAATTCTACCTGATGTTTGTACTAAACGTCCCCTTCCATTATGTTTTACCTAGGCGTACAAAAAAAATACTTGAGCTGTGATATTTTGTGTTGGCCCAAACATGGGATTGATATCACTCTATACTAAAAAGTAAAAAGTCTCCCTTATATGTTACAGGACTTCTTAGACAACCAAAGTGGGGACACTTACGAGATCTACACAAGGCTATCAAGCTTTGTGAAGATGCATTAGTCGCCACAGATCCAACAATTACCTCCTTGGGTTCAAATTTGGAGGTACCAATAGTACCCTTTTCTTGTTTCAAATGCTCTAACTTAAATCGTTGTCATGTTATTTGAAAATCTAACTATGAATTGATTATTCTTGTCAGGCTTCTGTATACAAAACAGCATCTGGATCATGTGCCGCTTTTCTTGCAAACATTGGCACTCATTCTGATGCCACTGTGGCCTTCAATGGCAATACTTATCACTTGCCTGCATGGTCTGTAAGCATCTTGCCAGACTGCAAGAACGTGGTTTTTAACACTGCAAAGGTCTGCCAATTGGCATCTCCAACTGTTTAATTCCTCACCACTTATGGCAATTTAGAGTGCAACAACTAATTGTTGGAATATCTAATGCCAGATAAATTCTGCAACTGAGTCCGAAACGTTCGCACGTCAGTCTTTGAAACCGGATGCTGATTCATCTGGAGATTTAGGTTCACAATGGAGCTATATTAAGGAACCTGTTGGGATTTCCAAAGCTGGTGCATTCGTAAAACCCGGATTACTTGAGCAGATAAACACAACAGCTGACAAAAGCGACTACCTCTGGTACTCACTGAGGTAAAAAATAAGCCAGTTTATTCTCTGAGTAATTTCAGTTACCGCAAAATTGTTTTGCCAGTGGAAATCCTGCATTTTTTGGTAGTAACAAAGATTTTTCTTTCATTAAACAGTATGGATATCAAAGGTGATGAGCCTTTCCTTGACGATGGATCTAAAAGCGTCCTCCACATTGAATCACTTGGTCATGTGCTTCATGTTTTCATAAACGGCGAGCTTGCAGGTAACCTGATATGCTACTAATATGATCTCCATGATTAACTTGTCATTCCTGCCGGAGCACCGACTTATCATGTTCAATTGATTTTTCTTAACTACAATCTTGTGGGGAAATTTTCAGTATAATTTTGAAGGAAGATACGATTTAGTTAAATTCGTGAAGTTGGTTCAAACGAGTCAAAAAACTAAGTTTGCTATAGAAATACCCAACAAGACCAACACTTTATATTTGACTTTTTTTTTTTGCTGTAGGAAGCGCAACGGGCAAACCGAGAGTGTCTTTGGCCATCCCGATCAGTCTTGTCCCAGGGAAGAACACAATAGCTCTCCTCAGTGTCACTGTAGGCCTCCAGGTATATTTGAATGTCTGAAAAGCGCTCATAGCATGTCAAGAACGTTTAAAAGGCAATATATTGAACCTGAGTAATGTCTACTGCAGAACTATGGAGCTTTCTTTGATTTAACTGGAGCTGGGATAACAGGTCCCGTGATACTTAAAAATGGGAACAGCGGAAGCACGATCGATTTATCTTCTAAGCAGTGGACATATCAGGTCAGTACTAGAACCCGAAACACTATGAAATTATGACATGAGAAGTGATTAATTCATTCATTCATGATAGAGAGATTGGGAGGAACGTTTCCCCCCTATGTTTGTTGCGTTCGATCGATATTCTATTTGAGTCGATGAAACCCACAAGTCCAGTGGATAACTCATTATGTTGCTCATGATTCTGCTTTTTTATAAAGCTTCAAAGAAATTTGTCTTCTCGATTTTGTTAGCTTTCAGAGTGTTTTAATCAATGATCCACATGAACCATCTCGTTTATGGCATTTTCGTGAATCAACAGATAGTTCAAGATTTATGCGAATCAACAATCAATATCTCTTTACAATGCAATATTCAGACTCATGCATCACTTTTTAACACGTTTCTTACAGGTTGGGCTGAAGGGGGAAGACACAGGTTTGTCAACTGGAGATTCTTCTGAATGGGTTTCAGAATCTCCATTGCCTACAAAGCAGCCATTGATATGGTACAAGGTGAGATTGGTCGGAGAAACCACACACACCTCGATGATCATATATTATTATCATTAATATGAATATGGGAATCATTTCTTTATTCTCATCCCAATGCGGAATGTCTCAGACAACATTTGACGCTCCTGCTGGAAGTGATCCAGTCGCGATAGACTTCACGGGGGCGGGAAAAGGAATGGCGTGGGTGAACGGAGAAAGCATAGGCCGGTTTTGGCCAACCAATATTGCACGAGACAGTGGCTGCACCGATTCATGCGACTACAGAGGATCTTACCGTTCAAACAAATGCCTCAAGAACTGCGGAAAACCATCTCAGTCACTGTAAGCACTTCTCCCCTAATAAATCACACTCTTCAACCTCTTGAAACACGAAAAGAAACATACATACGTACGTACATACATATACATATATATACACAGACATCCATCTATACATATACATGGTCGCTATCAAAGAAGTATGGTTGGGCAGGATCTTAACCAGGATGTTGAAGATTTAAGGATGTTATTTTGGTTACATTAAACAGGTACCATGTGCCACGGTCGTGGATAAAAGAAAGCGGAAACACACTTGTACTCTTGGTAGAGGCGGGAGGGGATGTAGCAGGGATATCATTTGCAACGAAGCAAGGAGGAAGCAGTCTGTGCCTGAGAGTGTCGCAGTCTCATCCACCGCCCGTGGACACGTGGACATCATCCTCCAACAGAACTAGAAGAACCACTCCTGTTCTGTCACTTCAGTGTCCGAAGCCCGATCATGTCATATCATCTGTTGAATTCGCAAGCTTCGGAACTCCGACGGGAACTTGCGGTGGCTTCAGCCATGGTCGCTGTTCGAGCTCTCTTGCTCTTTCCTATATGTAGTTGTATATGCGTGAAGATTGGAATTACGTTAAGACTGAAAACGACGTCGGATGGATGGTGCAGGCATGCGTTGGATCGAGGAGTTGTAGCCTACCGGTGTCCACCAGTGTGTTCGGAGACGCTTGCCGGGGCACCGTCAAGACCTTAGCTGTCCAAGCTTCTTGTTCATAGACTCTTTTCTTTTCCATTTTAAAATAAAAAGAAAATGGAAACTGAAATTATGTATCTGATCTGAACCTCAATCAATTAAAAAAAAAATAATGAAATTACAAATAAAATTCAGAATACAAAATGTATGTAACTATTTGGTCGGAAATAAATTTGAGATATAGTTTGTTTACTGATGGAATACCGAGTGATTTAAGTATCTAAGACTAAGATGAATAAACAATAAAAAAAAAATAAGAACATCTGGATTGGATTTTAAGAGGAGCTTGGGAAGCCCTCTCGCAGAGAAAAACCCTAACGGTTCGCTACCGCCACCTTCAATGGCATCCTCCTCGAACGACGACCTCTCTCTTTCCCAAACCCTAATCTCGGAACCCGTTTCGGCTGAGCAAACTCGGCTGTCTGATCCAGAACCCGTCGATGACGCCATCGTGGGGGACAAGCGGAAGCGCTCCGACGAGGAGAACGACGATAAGAGCGGTGCGGAGCGGTCTGATTCAACGCTTCATCCACTGTGGAAAACGAGCCTCTGCTCCTACTTCAGGCGCCACGGTGCTTCCTGCAGCCATGGCAGCGCGTGCAGGTACGCGCACGGCGAGGGGGAGCTCCGCCAGAGGCCAGACGGTACGTGGGACCCAACGTCGGAGCGTGCCAAGAAGGTTATGAGGATGACGGAGGACGCTGGGAAATGCGAGGAGGAGGAGGAAGAAGATACTGAAATTTTGATCACTGAGCAGGTGATGGACGATGATGCCGATGATGATGGAAATGGCGGCAACGGGAATTGTGTTTTGGATCCGTCTCTGAGTAAATGTTTGGTGCATACACCGATAAGATGGCATACAGATGATCTGAAGAAGTTTCTCCGCGATCAGGTGAAGAATCCTTTAGGGTTTTAGATTTGATTGCAAATTGCAGATGATTGGTGTTGATTCGTGGTGTAGTGATTAGATTGTTAGATGAAGAAGAAGTCTCCATAAAGTGCGGCGTTTTCAGTAATTTGAGCTGATAAATTTCATCTCTGATTCATCGATTTATGGGGCGATTTCTTCAAATCCAGGGGGTGCAATTTAAGTTCGCCAAGAAAAAGAAAGGCATGGCGGTTAGTTTTGTGACATTTGAGAATGCAGAGCACTTGCAGAGTGGCGTAGAGGTGCTATCTCTTTAACCCTTTTCGAAATCATTGGTCAGCAGTATCATTTCGTATGGTTGTTTTCTTTGGTACTCATAATCAGTTCGAATATTTTAGATTTTGGAAGGAAAATCCGTGGGTAACAAGAAGTTAAAGATCGCCGATTGCATTCCCCGTTCATGTGACAAGAATATCAAATCGGCCATGGAAAGTGGTGCTGGTGACAGCAGGAGCAGCAATGATGCGGTAAAAGTTAAAAGTGCCCGCGAAGCTGTGACTCCCCTTGCTCACCTGTCTTATCCCGAACAGCTGGAACAGAAGAGGAGCTCTATCATGCAAATGCTGAAAAAACTTGTTCGAAACTTGCTCAGTTTTCTTTATTTGTTTTCGCATGATGGTTTATAAGTATTAGCAAACTGAGATGTTGGAATTTTTTTCTTGGCAGACTAGGAATGCCCGTAAAGCTTGTTCAAATGGCATTTCACTTCCAGAATGGGTCCTTAAGTCTAGAGAAATAGGTAAGACTCTAGGTTGTTGCCTTCCAGCATTACATCATTATTTGTTGGTCTGTGATCATTGAGGCTAAGCCTGCGTCTACAGAAAGGGAAAACTATGATCTACATTTTGATTGCCATAGAAGAATCGCCTGTTTTACTTGTGTTCTTATTCTGGTTTGAGACTGGATGGGGTGGTTTAGGAGCCGTTTATCTCATACAATCAATCTTGTAGGTGGTCTTCCGTGCAATCTAGAAGGTGTTATGGAATCACCGGTTATAAACGGATACCGGAACAAGTGTGAGTTCTCAATTGGATATTCTGTGCAGGGGAAGCTTACTGCCGGATTCATGCTTGGAAACTTTAGGTATTCTACAGACATCTATTAATGTGAATTTCAAATCAATATGGGTGAACTGATGCACAATCTTTCAGGGAGGGTGTAACTGCAGTAGAGGAGCCATTGGATTGCCCCAACATCTCTAGAATTGCTTGCAAGTATGCTTCAATCTTTCAGGAATTTCTGCAAAATTCAACCTTCCCGAGTTGGAATAGGTTTAAGAATTGTGGGTTTTGGCGGCAGTTGACGGTATGTTTTTTAATGCTTAACTGTTGTATTTTAGCCCAATCTTACTTACCTAGTTCGATTCAATTTGGTAGCAATGTTTTACCTTTAAGAACTTCTTAGGTTCGTGAAGGAAGAAAACCTGGTGGGTTTTCGGACGTTGCAGATGTTGAATCAAGCATTGCTGAAGTTATGCTCATTGTTCAGGTTAATCTCTTACTTCATCTCCTTGGATGGTAATAAAGAATTTTGAGGTGACTGTTTTAATTGTCCTTCTTGTCTGACTGTGTAGGTTTGCACTTCTGGTTTTGACGATGCAAAAATAGCCTCTGAATTTGAAAGAATGGCAAAAGCATTTGCTGAAGGAGCTAGAGCAAATTCACCACTTCTGCCTCTAACAGCTTTGGTTATCCAGGTAATCACTTTTGTCATTGTAATCTGCTGTTATTGCTTGCATATTTTTTTTCCTCATCAAATGCAATTCATTGCAATTTGTCTGTTGATAAAGTTTCTTTTAGAAAACGTTTCAGAGAGTAATAAGTAGAGGTTCTTCTGTCTGATGACTCTGATCGGTCCCCATTTTCATGAGTTGCTTGTTAGCTGGACAGATTTTACCTATCCATAGTTTTGTGTTGAAATCCAATTTCCAGTTACCATGAGATCTGTAGGACGGAAAACCATTTACCCCCGTGCTTTTTTTTCCTAATATTTCTTGGATTTTTTCATTATCATGGCTGAGCAAGGTATCATCTAATAATAATGATATGTTTCATGTTTTCCTGTACCTTAAAGTAAGTTCTTGAATTGTCTTCTCTGTACAGGACCACCAAGGAATATCAAATGTTGCGCCTGCAGATGCTCCGCTGCGCTCACTGCTTATTCCAATGTCAGATAATGGATCCAACCAAGATCAAGCCAGCAATGTCGTGACTGAAGCTCGGATTCACGATTATATCAACAACCTTCGGTTCAGTATATCTCCAACAGCATTCTTTCAGGTAACTGAAGCATCATCACTACATATCTATTGCTCCATTGATGGGGGGAAACAAGTTTATAATTATATGCCCGATCGTTGGCATCATTAAGAGCGTCAAATGATTCAGGTCAATACCATTGCTGCGGAAAAGTTATATTCACTTGCTGGGGATTGGGCTGGTCTTGATCCCGACACCTTGCTTTTTGATATATGCTGTGGAACTGGAACGATTGGGCTTACGCTGGCTCATCGTGTTGGTATGGTAAATGTTCATCTCCTAAACTTTATTTGATATCAAAATCCAAAAGCGATTAAAAGTAGGGGTTCTGAATATGGAAGTTTTACCTGTTCAAACCGAAACTCATGCAGGTTGTTGGCATAGAAATGAATGCTTCGGCTGTGTCAGATGCTGAATGGAATGCCAAGATCAATGGCATTAGCAACTGCAAGTTCATCTGCTCAAAGGCATGGTCCCTACAGTTTCTCTTTTTGTTGCTGGATTTATTTTGGGTTTGGGGTCTGAAAAAGAATGATAATATCTCTACCGTTTTAAAGCATCTGTATGCAAGATCTTGTAGCCTTCATCTAAAATCCATTCCGTTGATTCTTCTTGGCCGTTGCATTTGTATAGGCGGAAGATGTGATGGGTTCTCTACTGAAAGAGTACCTAGATGTGCCCCCAGAGGAAGAACCCGAGCTTCCAACTAATCCCGATGATGGTAACAAAGATGATTCATCTGACGTTAAAGAAACACCAAATCCCGAGCATGAAAATGGGAAAAACCTACCAGAAAGTTTGGGGAAAGATCAGGAAGAACTCCAGGAAAATGAGCACAAGAGTCCTTCCGCAGAAGCAGAAAAATCTTCAAAACCTCAGTTCAGAAACGTAGTTGCAATAGTCGACCCTCCACGTTCAGGCCTTCATCCCATTGTAAGTTGGCATCCCTTACAAACCTCATTCATCATTCATCCAACTGTCCTTCAAAAAAAATTTGTAATTTTTTTTTACTATTGTGTTGTCGGAATGCAGGTAATTAAAGCTCTAAGAACCCATCCACGTCTGCGGAGGCTCGTGTTAGTCCCCGCTCTAAAGCTCTCTTACTCTCTCTTTTCTTTCCACCCCTTCTACTGCTACCAAAGAGAATTCCTCCCATTTTCCGTTATATAAATATTGAATCGAATCTTTTCCCGAAATTTGCAGCTACATCTCGTGCAACCCGGAAACCCTAGTGGCGAACGCCATAGAGCTATGCACGCCATCTCCGGACAAGGCAGAGAAAGGGAACAAAGACAACAGAGGGTGGAGGAAAATGAGCAGCGCTGGTTTGGCACGTCACAGAGCAAAGTCGATGCCGGCTTCCGAGCCCTTCAGACCCATCAAAGCCATGGCCGTGGACCTCTTCCCTCACACCCACCACTGCGAAATGGTTATGCTTCTCGAGAGGTAAAATCATCATAATATAGCACCGACCGACCAGAGCAGAGAGGACCAACATACCAAAACCATGTTTGCATTTCCCCATGTGGATGAAAATTTTATCAGTGCAGAGAAGATTATGCACCCTTTGGTACTAAATGAACCAAATTTTGGAGAGTTCTTAATATGCTTTCAAATTTATTCAATTGGGTTCTTCTACGAAAATATCAGCTTTTTGGGTTACGATTGTCAAAAAAACGACCCCTTTTTTACCTTCGTATTTGGGTTCTGTTTTAGTATCTTTTTTTAGGGTTTAATTGTTGAAAATAAACGTATATTATACGCATTCAAATTAGTCGATTACTATTTTCAATATTATAAAAAAAATTCAAATCAGAAATACAATGGAATCCATCTTGGATTCTATTCCAAAAAAAAAAATCTTAGTACACAAATTTAGATGAAATCTTGGCATGTCATTTTGAAGCCATATTTACCGGGGATAGGGATGGTTGATGGATAATTTTGATGGCAGCATTTAACTACAAAGGTCGAAATCCATTACACGATTCAAATCAGAGGATATAATACAACAACATTTTGAATATGGCAAATGGGTTAACGTTACCAAAAGACATGAATCTATCTCGTTAACGTTGCCAGAAGACATGAATGTATCTGTGCATGCATTTATACACACATAGGTAATGGTCATAGTATACATCGGCTTCCTCACGTGACATAAATTTGAAAAACTTTTCGTGAAAAGAAATCTATTCGATCAAAATGACGAAAAAGTGTTCGTCATTTCTCTGAATATGCAAGTATTGGATTTCTGAATAAACAAGGAGAGAAATCAAAGAAATTCTCGTAATTTTTTTTTTAAGAAGAAGAAAAAATCAAAGAAAATCGCTGGGTTCGTAGTATCCGTACCGAGCCCTTCTCATGTTGTCCCTTCGCTTCTTGTAAACAAATCCACCGACGGCCACCGCACTCACACCCATCGCCACTCCGATCGCTATCCCCGCCTTCTTCCCGCTACTCATCCCTCCCTCCTGAGATCCCCCTTCTCCTCCTCCCTCTTCCTCGTCGGCCGCTGTTATGTACTCCACTTGTCCCCCTGGACTCGGCGCCGGAGAAGGAGGATACGGAGTCTCTGTCTCGTAGTCTTCGTCTGCCGGAGGCAATAGTGCCGGAGATTCCGATATCGGAGCTGGAGCCGGTGCCGGCGTCGAGATCGGGGATTCCGGCGCCGTCGGAGGGGGCGGAGGCGGAGGAGGGGAATCCGCCGGGGCTTCGGGTGCTGGCGACGGAGCCTGCGACGGAGGAGGGGGAGAAGGGGGAGGAGGAGAATCATCTGCCGGAGCTTCGGGCACGGGTGAAGGCGCCGGAGATTTTCGAGGCGAAACCTCCTGAGCGAGTGCGAAATCAACGACGAGAAGACAAATCAACATCGCGGAGATGAATCCGAGCTTCTTCTCCATGGTAGTATCAAACGGAGATTGTTATATTTTTGCAGAAAAATGTGATCGTATGCTTCTATTGCTCGAATCGTCTTCTTCTTGTCCTTCGTTTTCTTGTTGTTCTTGAGGAAGATGGAGGAGGGTGTTGGAGGGAGGGAGGGAAATTAAAAAACGGAATAAACAGATCGTTAGTGCCAAAAAAAGAAAGAGATAAATAGATATCCATTGATGTGAAGCCACGTCGGATGCACACCGACACTACGATGCGCGCATTTCACCAGATTCAATTCCCTATTTGCCCCTCTGGACGTTTCTTTTTAGCCTTGAAAGACTTTTTCAAACTCAAACCCAATTTCTCACATCAATTGACAAATTATAAACTCTCATATTTACCCTAAGTTTTTTTTTTTGTATAAAATGCCAGATTTGTTAATCTGGTTTTCATAACATAGAATAAAAAATTATCCAAGTCTGGGATTTATGATAAAATATCTAAAATAATTTCACGGTTAGGTACTTTATATGATTTCAAAACTCATTTTGATACGTTATTATAAATTCGGATTTAGAGATCTTTATGACATAAAGGTAATATGAATATTAAATAAAAACATTGTAATTACACAAATTTGTCTTAAATTAGTGTCACTAAAAAGGGATACTAAGTATTGCAAAATACATAATTTTTATTTGATAGGAGGCATGTTATGTTATGTTTTGTTTGGAGGGCAGGAGAAGAATATGATTTATATCTGAAATTAATGTGCTGCATTATATATATATATATATGTTTTTATTTATGTTTACAAATATATACGTGTGTCCATGTGGTAAATTGATAGGCCTATGAGGTGCTTCCATGCATGCCGGCCATTTTCAACGCATTAAGATGTTTCAATTGCAACTTTTTTTATTATTATTAACTTGGATGCACGTCCCCTTCGATTTGTTTATAAATATTATATCATTATATTTTATAAGATTATTTGATTTTTTCTAATATTATTATACTTATTAGTTATTCTGCAGCTACCAATCCATCACGATGAAAGGTCGTGATGCCTAGTTCTACAGGTCGAATACTTTGACTACGTACGTAAATTGTTAACTTTGAATATTGCAAAAAAAAAAAGAGAGCATGATTTAAACATCTGAAAATTGGAAGAGATTAATTAATTGTTCAAATAGAAACAAAATTTTGAATTTATAAAAAAATTTGTATAAATTAGTGGTTATGTCCAAATCTTATATTTCGTGATTTATATGAATTAATATTGGATTGAATAGTTAATAAAAAAAATATTGAATTGAATACCATGAAAAAGGGGAAAATAAAAACAAAAAAATTGAAAACCAAAAATCCAATGGAAATTGCCATATTGGGCCTTAGGTTCACGAGGGGTTATAGTTTATTGGCCCAAATAAAGGCCCATTATGGATTAAATTGGGCTTACGGTTCGCGAACTTCGCGTCGTCGTCTCTTCCTCATTTTCTCGGCAACCAAATAACTCCTTTCCAGATTTTCGCAGAATCAACCCGCGGACAAAGGTTCACCATGATCAGCGTTCTCGCTCAGGTTTTCGTCCTCAGCTCCAATTTCCAATCCTTGCTATTTTCGGGATGCAATGTTGGTCGATTTCCGTTTTTTTTTTCCTGATTTTCTCCTGCTGTTTCTTTCTGTAGGAGCGTCTTCTTGGCGCCACGCTGGGAAGTGCGTTGACGGGATTCATCGTTTTTGAACAACGGAAGCGCATCTACGAATCCATCGCTGATCGCGATTCTGAACCTGGAATCCAGTCTCAGGTTAGTGATTCTTCTGCCTTTCGTGTTTTCGATTTTTTTTTTGAGTGGGCACCACAAATCCCTAGATATCGTTCAATTTCCTCCGAAATATTGTCTATATTTCGGATGAAAATCCTATTGAACCTTTGAATATTGACGATCGTGGCTATTAGTGTGAGATTGTGTATTGAATTTCTTCAATATACTATTGAAAATGAAAGCAATGAAATTTGCTAAGCTTGACCCTATGTATTGATCCGTTTTCCTTCAAAAGGGTTTTTGCAATTTTATCCGATAATGTGACAATGTTAATTTTCCTAGATAGGTATAGGTGAGTAGATTGCTTTAGCTTCGGGAATAGGGAAACTGTTGAGCTCATTGAAGTTTTTTTCAACGCAACCTTCAGCAAGAGAAGATCTGCATTCGCCAAAATTTCAGTGTTTGAATGATTCCTGTTTTACTGAAATAATTTTGCTTCCGTCCGGGTTAACTAGAAATTAGGACTTGAACACAAGCAGGGTGTTGATCTCAATTTGTTGGGTTCACAGAAAAATTGATGTATTAGCTCGTTGTTTCATGAATGCATACACAGTTTAAGGTTTTCATAGGTTGTGAATCATGTTTCAGGTAAAAGAACGCATGTTTGGGAAGAAATCCCGCCTGGAATTTGCATCTGTGTGGAACAAAGCTGTGGATCAGACGTTTGGGCCTGTGATTGAATTCCTTAGTTCACGTAAATGGTAGAGATGGAATAGTTCCTCCTTTTGCGGAATTGTGTACTTCATTGAGACCCATGTGTTCGATTGTTGTCCTCCTCGTCCGATATCATTTTTAGATGCTGAGAAACCATGAATCTGGGATGTTCTTGGATGTAAACACTCAGTTGTATGACCTTATCAGAATACAGCTCTATTTCTATCGTCTACTTTCTTGAGCATGGAGAATCATGTTCTTTAACTATAAAGAAGATCCACAATTTATAATCTTTTGGGTTGATGATTAAAATGCTAGTGTACCATCTTGTATTTTGTGCTAGATTTGGTTTGTAATCAGCAGGTGATCGATGTGGATCATGGAGCAAACTAGTAAAGACTCTTGACTATTAAGCACTCCAGATGGAAACTTAATACAAGCTTCAAGAGTTCGACCAAAAGCACACATTCAACTCAAGCCTATATCTATGCTCTATCACAGGAATGGCATCAGCTCAAACATCAGGTTGAACAGAGTTAGAAGGGTTTGCATTTCCATGGCGCTTCCTCACCACATAGTAAGCTCCCATGGCAGAGAACACAGCGAAAGCGAGTCCAAAGATGATGCCAGCAACACCACCGGCACTGATTCGGCTACTAGAACCACTTGACATTGATGCTATCTTGCTCTCTTGTGCTTGTGCAGCAGCTCCTTGGACTTTGGCAGCCACAGGGAGGGGGGAGCAGCCGGATTCGGCACAAGGGTCTAATTTAGCATCTGGGTTTTCTGGTTGTGCATGGAAGAACTCAAATGCAGAAGGCGAAAATGCCATCGGGCTCTCATAGGTTAACCCGTGGGGAGCTCGATCTTGTGCCAAGGCTAGAGAAGAGAGGAGCAACAACAGGAAAGTTACCAAATTCATTTCTCACTCTGTTTTTCTTCCTTCACTTGTTTGCTTCTTGATAGTGTAGAGTGTTGCCTGAGAAAGGTAGTGTGGTTTTGTCTTAGAGGGTAGTTTTTTGGCTTGGGGGTTTTTATAAGGTCTTTGTGAGGGCAGAGAGGTGGTTGTTGCTTGTGATTAAATTTTGGTGGTGAAAAAGATGGCATCCATATACATGAGGGAGCAATATGATGACAATAATGGCATCCCCTTTTTCATATAAATCTTGGTTTTTTCTTTTAATTTCTAGGCTCCTTGATCACTTTTGGTTTATGGGTGTAACACTAAAATCTCCTTATCTTTCAAACATTTACTTGTGAATTTTCAACATATAGGTTTTAAGGATTCATCTTGCTGGTCATGGACATGGTGAAACTTTATTAGAATTTGATCGATTCTCTTCTTGAAATTTGTATATCAATATTTACCGTTTTAATATGAAAAGTTTATTAGACTCTATTTTTTTATTATTTTCAGGTAGAAATGTTGTAGATATCATAGTTACATTAGCATAAAACTAGGTTTATTTAATGTGCTATATCAACTATTTGTCTAATCAATGATAAACGTTCATATTTATAATTTTCCCTAACCACCGATTAAAAATCTGATTATGCCTGGTCCCATTCTTTAATCACTCCCACCAGCAGTAGCAGTTAGCATATCATAAACCTTTTAATTAACACATAATTATCTTTGCATCACTGTACAATTAGCGACCATCATTAAACTCTGGCATCCTATATTTATTTTATTATTATCAAATCCATCTTTCTTCCCTTGAAGTATCAGCGATGTGTGTTTGAAAAACTTTCCTCTTTTATTTATTTTTTGTTCTAATACCTCTAAAACAAAATGTTATGCGTGGGAGTAATTATAACTCTCATGGCCTTGAAGGGTGCCAAGGCATGCTTCTCCCCTTCACGCTTTCGGTTTCTATAATGTGAATTTCGGGCACGAGGAACGAATCTTGATTCTTACGTTTTTACATACATTTGATGGGTTGATTTCTTTTTATTTTCATCGAGTATTCTTGATAAATCCTGCACATTTTGAATCGTTATTGGAATCCATGATTACAGGTTTTTGTTTGGGTGGTCCAATTTAGACGTAGGGGGGATGTTGTGTGAACGAGCAAGAATCTTGCTTGTGAGTGAAATGAATGGGCTTTTATTGGTTCACATGTAATGTAATGTAACGTTCTCCCTCAGCTCTTCACAAGATCTCTTTTCCTCTCATTATCTTTTTTGCCTCCTTTGCGCCACCACTGCTTCATTCAATTGTGAAGAAAAACTCATTTTTAGTGTCTCAACGAGAAAAAAACTGAAATTCATTTTGTATATTATATATTTAGTTTCCTTTTATATGCGATGGATATATTTAATAATAATAATAATAAAAACAAACCAGCACCTCTTTTGTAAAATATACACGTGGAGGAGCCGCGAGAGGAAAGAAACAAAAGGGCCATCAAAGATTCAAAGTAGCGTAATCTTTTAAAAACATATTTTCTTATCCAAACATTCAGATTAATTATTTATACTATAAAGATTGTGATTATGATTTTGGACGAGTGGAAAAATAATTATTCAATAATTGGGTCGATAGGTTTTCTTTCCAAAGGCCCAACATGAAATATAATTCGGCTCGGCCCTTTCGGTAGAGTGATCCGATGACCTCTTCGACATTTGAAACTTTTATTTTATCATATAAGTGTTTTCTCATATATATTTCTGTAAATTAAGTGACGTTAAGAACATTACCAAATCCAATGTGAGAGGGATTGATTGAACATATATATTAATGTGGATGTTTTGATATTTCTTTATTTTCTAATTACTTTTTTTTTTCTTTAGCTTTTTTATGTTATAGTTTTCATTAAAAGTATTTACAGTTTCTTTTTAAATATTTAATTCAAATTCGTTTGCAATTATATTAATTTACTCAATTCGATTCGTTTGTTATGCATCGGAATGTTAACCACAAACTTATGTTAAGGAGTTTATGTGTACTAACAATGGTACTAACAAACCCAAAATAACAAAAGCGAATTAAGTAACCAATGGAAGTATTATAATGCAATTGTTTTATATCTACGGCTTCTATTTTAGTGCCAAGGGAAAAAAAACAACAAAAGGTAGCATCTCATTTTCCAGCATAATTTAATTTTGAAATGTGATTAGTGAGTTTTTTTATTAAAAAAAAAACAGCCCCCAACTACTCTTTTTTTTATTATATATAATTTTAATAAATTATACAAGGAAAAAGACAAAGGATAAGGTGTGAGTTTGTTCTCTAATCACAATCATGCAGAGAATCTCATCCAACGTGTCACTTTCCTTTTCGTTTACTTTTTTTTTTTAATTTATACTTTCAGCACATATTTTATATTTTATCAATTTATGGATAAGTGTAAATTGCATCATCTTCATTATAATGCAAATTTAATAACTACATACACATAAGTCAAGCTGCTATCGGCCACATAAATTTGCCCACTGTTCTGATATACAAAGTGTGCGTGATTTATTGCTTCACATAATCAATTTTCATGTAAGCATTAACAAAATCATGAAAGAAAATGAAACCAAACTAGACTTCCCAATTAATCACGATTTTTCCGGGAGTGAAAAGGAACACCCATAGAAAATGTGACACGTGTCCACCGGTGTGAGGGTAGAGAATCCCGAGCCTTCTTGAAAAATCAAGAAATGAATTAGCTTTTGACATTTCGTTAATAACAAAATTATACTTTGTCGAATAAAATGAAAGTTTTCTTTTGGAAAATTTTGTTGCCAATTATTCCCTATGTTCCACGATAGATATATAAGTCGTTTTCAAACTTGACGTACGTAATGAAAAATGTATGGTACGTATTATACGTGTAGACAAAAATATGCTATCGAGACTTTTACAAATACGTAAACTTTCTAAAGCACACGTAAAGGATGGTAGAAGATTAATTCGGGAAATGGGAATATCATGAAATAAAGCAGTAAAGATGCCAATTTCATAAATTTTTTAAAAATATTTAAATAATGGGTGAAAACTTAAGTGGGTTTTTAGGTGTTTTCATTATTAACAACTTTAGTGGGTGAGAAAACTCCTCTTTAGTTTCCAATATTAATAATGGTAATAAGAAATTTGGATATATTTTAAAATAAAAGAGAGACCATTGAAACAAAGCAACAAGACAAAGCTGACAAACACAAACACGGATACATACAACCAAACTCAAAAAAAAAAAAAACCATCCATATTTTTTTTGCCCCTTTATTTACATTTCAATACACGAAACAAACACGAACTTGTGAACCGATTTATTCAGAATCGGGATTTTTTTAATTAATTAAGGGAGCTTAATAATTAATTAAAAAAAAGATTTAAGCGTTGCTCCTGAAGGATCCAAGTGCCTTAATCGCAGCCGCTCTGAGAACGTATTGATGGTAAACGGCCGCCGCTAGTGCTCCAATGAATGGTCCCACCCAGAAAAGCCACTGACCGCATAAATTTGTTAATCACATGATTTAAAATAATAAAAATAATTGGATAATGGACGATAAGTTTCCAGGGGAAAATACGTACGTGGTCGTCCCAAGCCTTGTCCTGGTTGTAGATCACGGCGGCTCCGAAACTCCTGGCCGGGTTTATACCGGTTCCGGTTATCGGAATCGTTGCCAAGTGAACCATAAAAACCGCAAATCCGATCGGAAGTGGCGCCAAAACCTTCAGTTTCGTTCAAAAACATCGTTTATTATCTTTTACTTGAAAATTTTTAGTTCATTATAGCACAAATAGCACTTATTAATCTCCAAAGCAGTCAACTTCCGGTTAAGTCTGGTATGGTTTACCGGTTTTGTGAACAGTGCCGATGGTCTATTTCGAATTTTATCAAAATCAGAAGGGGTTTTTTGGTACGTACGGGGACGTGAGAATCGCGAGCGTTCCTCTTGGGGTCGGTGGCGGCGAAGACGGTGTAGACGAGAACGAACGTTCCGATGATTTCTGCTCCGAGCCCGGTTCCTTTGTTGTAACCGGAGGCCAAAACGTTTGCTCCACCACCGTACCTGAAAACCGGATAAGAAATTCGGTACCGTCACAAAATCAATACAAAACCAGAATCATAAACCTGGAAAACCGAACCGGTTAAGTACCTGTTGTAGTACGATTTTTGGAAAGCTTTGACCAAACCGCAACCGCAGATGGCGCCAAGGCACTGAGCAACCATGTACAACAACGCTCTCACCAGCGACACTTTGCGAGCCAAAAACAGCCCAAACGTGACCGCCGGGTTTATGTGTCCTCCTGTTTCGTCGATTTCATCGCATTAATCATCGATTTCTCGATTTCGTATCCAATTAATCGCACCTTAATCAGGCTAATCAGTTCGAATTCTGGATTCTCAGCGACGAGATTATCAGATATAACATAGTGTTCTATGTTATATCTGATAGAGATTTGAAAAATTACCGGAGATTCCGGCGGTGCAGTATACGAGGATGAAGATCATGCCGCCGAAGGCCCAAGCGATTCCGAGGATGCCGACGCCGCCGCAGTCGTCGCCGCCGGCTTTGGTGTCGGACTGGACCTTGTAGCCGATGACGGTCAAAACGGTGACGTAGAGGAAGAGCAAGGTCGCGATGAACTCGGCGATCAGGGCTCTGTAGAAGGACCACTTCGTCAGCTCCTCCGGGTCGATCAGCGGCGCCGGCGGCGGGTCTGTGTAGTCCTTCGCCGTGAACTCGGGAGCGGATTCCTGCACCTCCACGTCCTTCGCCATGGAAAATTAGGGTTTTCTCTGCGTGATTTGGGGACTTGGTGAAGCTTTGAGAGTGCTCTGTTTGGTTTTTGTGGGCGGTGAGAGAGTGTGGGAGAGAAGGGGGTTTATAAGGAGTGAGTGATCATGGAAATGATGAGTTTGTGCTTAATTTTTTTAATTATCTCGCCTAATCATTTCATTTATGAATTTTTCTAATTGTGAAAAAATAATAATATAAAATTATGGGTCTATGATTAGACATTGGACAAGTAGAATACATTATCCTGCGCACCATCCATATTATTATCACTAATGGTATTTCAGTATATTGGGAATAATGATAACAAAGTTGGGATAAGCTAATATAAATGTGAGATTATTTTTTATATATAGTTAACTAATAAGGTGGTTAATCGAGTATTTACATTAAATCATGGAATGTTGTAATTTATAACCAGTCATAATTGGGTTAACGATTTACAAAACAAATTATATTGTTTATGACATGAATATATGGGATTTGATTCTTATGACATGCCTATAATTTTCAGTGTTTTATTACACAAATATGTGTGGTGGCTTCTTGTATGGACAGGGTTGAGGTTGATTTACTTGGGTAAATCTTTGAACAACAATCTTTTTTTTGTTTTGTATTTTAGTATATTGCAAATTTCAATATTATAAATAATACGTTATTGTATTCGAATTTCAAAATACATTATATAAAACTATCGGCATATCAAAATTTATAAATGTTACAAGTGTTATCGATATTTGAATTTATAATCAATCGATTTCGGATCACTTTAAGATATTGTGTTTACAATGACCATTTGAATTTTTGTCGATCGTTATGAAAATGTTAGTATAGATGTAATTAGATAAAATTGTGTGTGTATATGTAACATGTATCTAAATACCATTTTGAAATACTCAATATAATGAAAGCATAACGTAATTTTTTGTTGAAATAAATCCGATTTTAATTTTTACCATTTATAATCAAGCATGCATGCATGGGTTTATCGTAAAACGAACATATTGCACATATCAATCAATGAGTATGTAGTATTTGAAATGAAATTAGTTAGGCGATTAATTAATAATAAAGAGATTGATTAGGCTGGAGATTAAATAGTTTAAAGCCGACCATCCCAACCTTGACATCGACTTTATATGCTTTCATGGACCCACCTCCTATCTTATACAACGGCTATCATAAATCATCATCGGGTATTTTTTTTATCTTACAAAATAATATACGTATATATTATAAAAAGAAACCCTTTTTCTGAAATTTATTAATTAATGGTAGATTGTTCTAGACCATGACAATTAACCGGTAACCACTAATCAACATTTACACTATAAATACTTGTATATAGTGATGTTTTGTTTTTATATATGCATATCCTATTTCTAATAAATTTTTGGCTAATGACTAGATTAACAAATCGTCAAGGAAATATTGACAAGACCTACTCAATTAATTTTTCGGTAAATAAAAATCCAGTTAATGCAAATTTAACAACTATATAGTTTAATGAATTTACGTTGATGACGAATTTTATAGACTTCTTTAACAAAAAAAAAAGAATTTTATAGACTTCGGTAGGTTATTTTCAATATTTTGTTTTCGACTCTTAGATAAACAAGTCGGTAACGATGAAAGAGATATAATAGGATATTCGCGCATATGCCTTTCATTCTACAAAACCCAGTATCTGTAACGTGTAATACATCATATTTTATGGCGAATTGTAAATTAAAATCTATTCATTGATTAAAAATAAGAAAAGAAAATACATCACAATTAAAAGTTTATAACACCATCTCCTTATTCCATTATATAATTCCCAAAATACAAAACTTGCCTTTCTGAATTTATAAAAAAATTTATCCACTGAGATTTTTATTCACACGGGAAAAATAAAAATATAACATGTTACGCACTTTAATTTCACGAGTATATTAGTTTGGGTTAGAAAAAATATACATAGAAGTAGGTTTAGGACTATTTTTTCATTTAATTTTATATACGTTAACAAAAAATATTCACACAAATTATTAATTGCTTGCCATTATTTTTTTTTTTTTTCTAGTTTGGCGGCAGTAGACCCTAAGCTATCGGACCATTAATATTCAATATTATCCAGTGAGTGACAGATAATTGTTATACCCTGAAAATCCCAAAGCGACAAAGATGATTATGTGGACAGATCGATTAATATTAGATTAGATTAAATTAAATTAAACAACTCAAAAAATTTATCTGTCATATGTCGTGTAACTATGGTTCCTAATCATACATTGCATGGGTCTGCCAGGGCATTTCATCTGTTCACGACATATACTACACACACTCCGCAACACTGATTAGGTTTTCTTTGTTCTTTTATATACTTTTATTTTGATTTTATGCACACACATACATACACACACACATATATATATATATATATATATATAATCAATACTTTTTCATATCTTCTCTTTGATATCATTATCGTGGGGGAGTTTTTGTCCGGTTGTAAAACCCTTAATTTGCCAAGAAAGAATGAGCCACTTGCCGGACTATATGTATATACACACACATAACTTTGTTTTAAAATGTTGATTATTTCGTATGTATATACGTGTGCTATATACATGTGTAAGTATATAATGCAAGTGTTTTTTCTTATATATATTGTTTTTTAAATTCGGATCTTAAATTTCAATTCCATTATGAAGGAAATTCATAATGGAATGTTATATACAGTTTGAAATTTTTCACGGGAAACATCATCGATATATATATATATATATATATCGTACATAAAAAAAATTAAAAACAGAGAAAACCCACTTAAAATATTTAAACCATTGATATATTGAAGTTTTTCTCTTAGTGGCGACTTAATGTCATTGTGTGTGTGTGTGTATATATATATATATGTGCCGGTTATGTTTGTCCAATAGCATCTTCTCGGATAAAATTTCCTTAGTCATCGAGTTCGTAATCAGAAATTTTCGTATGGATAGGATTAAAGCCACGTGGCAGGAGGTCCAGCTACTGAGCTATCATGCCCGCCACCGGTCGGTCGTTTTTTTTTTCTTTTTGATTTGTTTTTCATTTTTTTCCATTCCAAAGACCCCACAAACATAATAATAACACTATTTTCTTCAACATATTTTTGTTAATTTCCAAAATAACGATTTTTTTGTTTTTTTGTTTTAATTTCAATTTATAGTATTTTCCAACCAAACGAACCATATTAGTTAAAGTAACCATTAAATCACAAACACTAATTTACTAATTTTCGGTAGTTTTTCTAACATTTAAAATTCGAACCCTGTTTTCCATGATTTGTATATATTCAAAATTTGATTAAGTATATATATGTGTATACTTTCCTCGAATGGATAATTATGTAAAAAACCATGAAACTAATTAAAGCAAATGCACAATACAATCATGATTCTAAAAAAGTTAAAAATGATTTCGTAAGTTATAACATATGTAATTATATTTTTAATTGTATTGAATTTCGGTTCATATCCAATCATGACTTATATGAGATCATGGAAATTAAATACGAATTCCATCTAAGGATAGTTTTGAAGTATACAAATTTCAAATCCTAATTATAAATATATCTGACTTTGGTAGTAGATTCATGATATAAAAAAAATGGGTGTTTTTTTTTTCTTTAAAAAAAAACTAGGGTTACTGAAAAATGATATTTTTAAGAAGAAAGTTTATATTAACAAAACAAAACAAAGTGCCAAAAAGAAAAATATATTTACACCGACGTCTCTTGAATTCAATCTTACATGAAGAAAAGGACGAGGAATTCCAAAAAAAGACAATTGTTACTTAGTATATATGCATCATTTAACACCGACAATTCCATGATGATGAGCATCGCCATTGTCGTGCTCTGCTCTGTCTTCTCTGATAGGTTCCAGCTTCGGGCATCTCGACGGTCTCAATTTGACCCGCAGGCACGACGGAGCGATCTCAACCGTCCATCTCGGCGGCGGTGCTTGCAGCCTCATCGTCTCCATTTTCATTGCCAACCTCATTTAAAAAAAACAATTTACAAGTATTTCGGGGGTTTTATAGGGTTTCGAAACCCTAAAAATGAGAGTGTGAAAATATAGATGGGAAACGATTTTTATTTTTAAAGGAAAACGAGTCAGCAGGTTTAAAAACGGAACCGATCAAGAACGAATGGTGATTAAAAATAAAATATTATTGCTAATTTTGAATGGTACCTATACCTAATTCTATTTGGGTTATGTATTGTTCCATGTTATATTTGTATTTTGGTAATAACACTTAAAAAAACGATCATGGGGGGCAACAAACGTTGTTAGATAGATTGCCATAATGGGCTGATAGAAATATATGGGCTTAATATATGATTATTCCATATAAAGCCCGAGGGGCCGTGATAGGTGCGAGTTGCACAAAAACGCTTTGTCGTCTCACTCTTAGAGATGCTCAAACCTTGCCGTTTTTCTAACACCTCACGTCGTTTTTTTTGGGCTGGGGCGAAAAAACGCCGTCACTTCCGTCCAAACAGCACGTGAAATTCACGTGTCACCATATCACGTCCACGAGAGCTGATTCCGCCACGTGGCGTCTGATGGTTAACTTCCACGTGTCGTAATTTCTATGACGCCTCGGGCGACTGAATCTACCATGTCGCGACAATTTTTTTTTTGTCCCTTCGTTTGGAGTTTTCGGTAAAATTGTTTCTACTGTTTTACCCCACGTTTTACCTCAAGACATTTTGTTGGGTTGTGAATTATTTTACCTCAGGACTCTTGTCATAGGGACACGTGCCATCTCAAAGGTGCTTAACTGTCGCTTTCTAATCGTGACACGTGTCATCCATTCATGCCATATACTATCTGGTCCCGGTTGATTAGTCGCAATAACACCTATTTTATGCAAAATATGGTCCGTTATGGATGTGGGGATGGAGAATATTCCATCTAGTGTTAGGTAACTTTATGTGTCTATATCGAATCCTAGATCACTCTATATAAAATAAACCACGTGACAAACGAGGCAAATAATTAAGCTTTCTTCATTTTGTTTTTTCCGAATATATAATATACATTTTATATCTCTAGACAACCCACAACTGTTTGGATATTCCTACAATCTTGAACCATGTCCAATATATAATTAAGTAAATAGTATTTAGTATTTACTAGCATACGACGCCTTGTGAAATTCATTTGAATTCTCTTGATAAAACTTTGTTTTTTTTATTATTTAATTTGCTTTGACTCGAGGATAAAAATTTATTTATTAAAACAAAACAACGGTAGCAATCGATTCAAATGGATAATGATCACTGACAGGCATTCAAATACATTGAATCGCTCAACCTTATTATATGCGAGCTGCCTAACCAGTTCAAAAAAGATACAGGTACAAATTTAGACATAACGCAGCAACATATTTTCGATGGCGTTAAATTTTTCATATCCATTGTTTATACGTTTTAAGGTTATTCACGGGTTTTAGACACACACACACACACATATATATATGTATATGTATTGGTAAAGGGACATCTGATTTATTGCTGTATATAATTAAAAACCCGATAACTTCATCACCAGGGCATTTTCGTAATTTCTCGTATGGCCGAGTTGTTTATCCATTGGCCTTCCCCGTCAATATATACACTTTCCATCACACAGACACACTTCCACGAGTTAAAAAAAAAAAAATCAGCACACCAACAAATAAATACACAAAAAACAGAAGCCTTCAAAAGCTTTTAATCTTCCTCTTCAATGCCAAAGAGCAGCTGCTACTATCGACGACCGAGCCACCGGTTCATCTCCGGCGAACAAACATTAACAACCGGTTCAGAGTTCGAGCTCGACGAGCGGGATCTCTACAATCACGAACCCGCAGATCTTGAACCGTCCGGTTTAGCCTTACCCGACCTCAACTCAACCGGATTCCGGGCCGGACTTGACCGGAACCGGTTTCTGTCCGAGGGAATCGTAAGTACGGTTCCGGTTAACGTACCGGACTGGTCGAAGATCCTCGGGGAGGAGAAGAGCGATCGCCGGAAGAGAGCCGTCGAGGAAGACGGCGGTGATGACGTGTCCGGAGGCGAAGGAAGGCGGTTGCCGCCGCACGAGATCATGGCGCGACGGAGGATGGCGTCGTTCTCGGTTCACGAAGGCGCGGGCAGGACGTTGAAAGGGAGGGACCTGAGGAGGGTGCGGAATGCAATATTTGAAATTACGGGGTTCCATGACTAATATCTGGAAACTTTATCCGGTGGTGAAAATAACATTTGGATTTACTCGTAGGGTAAATCTCACTAGTTTTGGTTTTTTCTTGGGAGATTTTTATTACTAGTCGAAGTAAGTTTCTCGCGCATATTTTTACTTAGGAACGGTAAAACGATACGTTCTTAGTGATTTAGTTATTTTCAATTCCCACACAGCAACTTGAACTTGAGAGGTATAACCAAGGGTGCTCGTCTCGGTTATTAACCGAATAATAGAAACGAATCGAATCGAATAAGATGTAATCGTATCCGAACCGAATTTGATATAAAAACAGAACGGTTATGATTTTTTTAAATTCGAAAAAACTGAAACCGAATAAATATAAAAAATAATCGAAAAATTGACAATTTCTTTAAAAAATAACTTTTTTACAGCAAAAAATCGAATTCGAACCGAAATGATCATCTCTATGTATAACGAATATGTAAAATATATTAGTATTCCTTATTAGGTTAAGAATCTTTGGAGAAGTGTATCTAGTAAACACATTTTATAAAGTTTTTTTTCCAACAAATTCTTATACAATCAAAATTATACTACAAGTTAAAAAATTGTGTGTAATATTACATATAAACAAGACTGCATGTAACGTAAATATTCGGCTCATAAATAACGGTTTTAATTATTGGAATTATAAGATGGATTAGAGATTATAATTTACAAAATACGATGTTAGATTAAAATATAACAATTGGTTTAACCTGATATTATAATATTTCAATTTAAATCGAAAAGATACTATATTTGAAATATATCTGGATTTGGCGATATTTAGACATTGTTATATATATAAATAAATTTTCAACCAGCTTTCGCAATCTCTAGATTGTGTACAGATAGCTATAAACCCTAATTTCGATTAACGTGCGATTTATCTATCAAGCAAAATGCGGTTTATTATGGCTACGTCGTCGATGGAGGGGCAAATACGTAATTCCAAGTCAACGCGCACTTCATGCGTAGGACAAAATTTTCAGACCTTCAAAGTCTTCGGCGTCTTATGCGTACGTTGGCTTTTCGTTTTGAAATCAATGTTGTTTTCCAAGTTTTGAAGTCAACGTTGTTTTCCTAAGTTTTTGTTTTTTTAATAAATTTAATCTATAATTTCAAAACATTAAATATATTTTTCTTATAATCCAATATTCGTGATATCATTTTGATTTTTTTAAAAATATTTGAATCCAAATCCGAATCCATCTTCACAGATATCTCTCCCTTCGAAATCGGATTTTAACTTCGCTAAAACCAAAATATCCAATTTTAGAATAGTTATAAATATTTACAAATTGAATAATTTGGCTTATGAGTGTCGATGCCTCTCGCTTATTTATATATTCATTGTTTATAAATTCATTTTGTTATACCAAAAAAATAATTCATTTTGCATTTGTTTCGTCTTTAGTATCGTTGTTTGTTATTATTCTTATGGGCCGCCGTACGGCTGAGGCCTTTAAAACTCTTCAAAATATCCAAACGATGGCGGAAAGCGCAAGCAGCCCATATGTTGCACCGAATTCCCCAGACCCAGACAAACGGGTCGGTAAGATCCGACCCGACTCTGATCAGGATCCGACCGCCGATGCTTCGTGCAGAGGAAATTGGATGGGACCTCACCGGAGAGAGGACTGGTCGCTGATGAAGACGGAGGAGGAGAAACAAGGGTGTCTGTATTGTTTTCTCTCCAAACCCTAGATTTCTCCCGATTTTCGCGCCATGGCATCGGATTCGACCTCCTTTCCTTCTTCCTCCGCCGTCGAATTGGCCGATCCGATCCATAGTCCCGATCCGAGCGCGAATTTTGGAGCGTGTCGGTGATCGATTGGACTCGATGGGACTGGCGGAGCCAAACGAAGTCTCCCATCGCAGCCACACCGATGACGGGGTTCGCTCGCCGGATGAAGAGGACGGGACGATACGGTGATTTCGTCGGTGAACGGCGAAGGAGACGGAGCGGAGGGAGGGGTGTGATTGACGGCGGGGCATCCGGTGGAAATGGGTTGGGGAGGAGCTATCGAGCCCCACAAGCGGCGGCTACGCTGGGGAAAGAGGGAGCAGCGGCGGGACTACATCCACTTCGAGAGCCGAAGACGACGATGCGAGCGACGGTGAGATTCGAGAAGTCAAGGTGGAGGACGACGGGGCCTAGCATGTGGCGCCGTGGAAATGCCATGTCGACGAGGTGGGTTTGGTACAGTTCTTTTGTTCTAGTTGTTGGCGCCAAACTATTCAAACTTCAGAGCATCCTCTAGTGAGGCAATTGTTGTTGGATGTCTCTGTAAATGAGTTCATTTGGGATCCTTGAATTAGTGATGTCTAGTGAGGCAACAGTATTGTCAGCCCTCGATTTTCTGAGTTTTGCATATTTAACCGACGATGTCGATTATCTAATCTTTGGTAATTGATGGAATCCTGAGGAATTTTTATCGTTAGATCTTGTTTCTTTTGCAAATGAAATGCAGGATGATGCTAGCGTGTCATGGAGAAAGAGGAAGAAGCATTTCTTCATATGTATTCCAGGTCTGGTTACTGATCACAGAATGCTGGCTTTGTGCTCTTAATCCTTATAATTGTTTCTACTCTGGTGCATATCATACTTTTGATTCTGTTATTGGCTTTCAGATATGGCGATGAACATAAGCTTGCTGGATTCTCAGCTTACTCTCCAGGCTATTATCTCCTTTGTGGAGAATGGGTAAACTTCACTTGCTCATTGGTGATCTTTTGTCCTAATGGTTAGTACTTGTGGTCTTTAACTCTTGATTTTAATCTTCACTCATTATTTCTCAGCGGTGTATCAATTTAGTAAATGCTGGAAAGCACCGGGTATTATACATTTCTCAGGCTATCATATCATTGTTTGACAATGATGCCTATAAAAAGTTTACTCATCAGCTATTTTTCATTTGAGATATTTTATAATGAGAGTAAGACATATCAGTTGTGGTCGAAGGGCATTAATTATCGATAGCAACATAAACATTTTATGCCTTGTATAAATAACACAACTTCCTGGTAAAATCCAGGTGATATTCCTTGTAAAGGGGCCAATCTACCTTGTCTGCATCAGCTGTACAGAATGAAACACAGGAATCTTTGTGCTCGGGGGGTGGAGGGGGGTGTTAACATTGAGCCTGTTTCACATCCTTTCTTTTCTTTAGCTGTTTTAAGTGAGCGATTTAACTGACCAAGATGTAATGATATGTTGCAGACGATACTTAAATTTTAACAAAGTCAATAAATAGGTGTTTTGAGAAGAATCCGAAGTTCGGCATGACACCTTTGCTTGGAGGAACAGATGTTGTCTTCTCTTTCTCTGATCCATTCATTGAGCTGGTTTGCATCTCAAACTCCTTCAAGTTCTGCTGTCTTTAACCTTTTTTTTTTTTTTTTCTGTTCCTTAATATTGATGTAGACTTAGGCTGCCATATTTGTTGGACTTAATGGCTTCTTTTTCTGGAGGGAGATACAGATGATTTTTTTCTGCTGTTACTTTAGCAGGATTCTCAAGTCGATCGGTTCATGTTTACTAATCTTGATGTCGCTGGATTTGGCCTTTTTGTAGGACTTCAGAATCTTTCTCACCAATCTGTCTGCCAAGATATAATCCTCCTCTGGCTCTTTTGCATGCCCACGTCCACTTCTTTGACGTGAGTCAATTGTAATCGCTATCTAATGCCATCCATAAACATAGGAAATGAACCATCGTTTTCCCTTTTTGCTTGACAGGATGATATACCTATTGTCACGCTGCTTAGTTGACCTAGAAATCCCTAGATCCTTGGTCATTCAAAACATTACATATGCAACAAATGCTCTGGGAAGATTTTGAACCCTTGATTCAAGATCAGATTTCGATGAATTCTTGAGACTTTGGTGGCAGACATTGGCGGCAAAGATATGCAACATGGTGTGTCACTGACTGGGGGTATAAGATGCGGAGAGAATCGAGGTTTTCTTGCGGGGAGCAAGCCCCTTCTACCTGGTGAACGGTGAATATTCCCCCATCTCTCTCTCTCTCACAATCACACAACTTAGTATTCTACCCTCTTTAAAGAAAAGAAATAAATAATAAAATATTACCCTTTATTTAAAATTCATAGTCATATTGATGAAGTCTTCAAAGTCAGATGGTGAGTTCTCTTACAAGTTTTGACCGTTCATTAGGGCTCCAGAGTTGGGTTTGGTGCTGTTTTGAGGATCGTATGTGTTTTTGAGATTATACGCTTAACTATGGAAGAATCACTTGGGCTTTTGACCTATTATGCATGCAGCTGTGTACGGTCTTTTTGGATTAAAAGAAAAGGGGTTTAGTGCCAGTTTTCGGCTTTTAATGTCAATCGCTCCCCCCCTTTTTGATGATCATCTCTAAAATCCCAAACTCATGTCTCTTTATTTTGCCATGGATGAATAATCATATTTCTCATTATCCGATATTGTGGGGTTTTGGTTTTCTGATTTCATTATTTTTTTTTTTTCCAAAACCCGACATCTTCGTTTTCTAATAAAAATACCAAATGAAACGAATCGATATGGTTTTGTTTTGGTTTTGTAACGCTTTGTTATATGATGATACATATCATACCCTCTCATCTTGAACAAAGCATTATGTAAATTACCACTTTAAAACCACCCGACAATTTTTTTTTTTTAATCTTATTTTGTTTTGGGGGTTTAAGTTTTTCTCTCTCCCTTACACGGAGTTTTTTTCTTCTCAAAAATTAATTAGGGGCTTCGAATTAAATGCAGCTTTGGAAGCTTTTTAATCTGTCACTACCATATAAATAAACAAGTCTTGGTTAGCCTTTAAATATATATATATATATAAAAAGATGACGCGTTGTCCGATGCTTGGAATTTAATTGACCCAACCTTTTATTATAAAAACATATACAGATTGCGATTGATGTTATGTGTTTATGTTATAGTATTGGAGATTAACCTACTACTGTTATTCTTCACGTAGAGTTATAAATTAATGTCTTTATAAAAAAATATTATAAATTAAGTTTTTTTTTCTGCCATCTGATAAATACAAATATGTGAGCCCCATCAAAGAAAGCATTACTTTTGATACACCACGACTAGTCATGTTGTTAAATGGGTGATTATGATTAGTGGTGATTTTTTTTTTGTGAATAATCAATCGGTCAAACTAGAGATTTAACACCAACAAATTAAAAGCTTATTTATTTTTGTTTGTTCCCCACTAAGCTCAACTATGATTGTGAAGGCCAACCTCTCGACCAAACAGTCCGACTGAAATGACCGAAACACCCTCGCCTTTTGTCAAACGAATTCTAACCCAAGGGTGTTTCTGTAATTTCAGTTACCTGTTTTTTGGTGGAGTTTTCCACGCCCTCGCTTCTCTCCTTGACTTATGTGCGTATGTCCACATTACAATATTGATCCACAGCTACATGAACATCTTTACACACACACACACATGGTTATATATATGTATATATATGTAGTGTGTAATAAAGGACGCACTACTTCTTAGGTTCGCAGCTGTTTGTATTTCTTTTAATTATTGTTCCATTAAAAATTTAATTGTTTCCATTGGAATACATGTAACATTAATACTAGAGTTCGCAAAATTATACACATGTTTAAATTAAATATGTAAATGGAATCCTCAATTTTTTTCAAAACAATAATATTAGCCGCTAAATATTGGTCTGGATTAAAATGGCTTGTTTTGCACATATATATGTAAGATTTAAGTTCTTATGCCATAAAATATTTCTCATAATTTTTTTACTAAATTTAATGTATGTGTTAATTTATCTGGTCTAAGAAAATATTGGTTGTGAATAATATGCGAGTGTTTTCAACGTTTTGGTATTTTGAAATTTTGAAAATACTATTTTTTTTTATAAAATTGAGTTTTCTTGTGGTTCGATAAATATTAAAACGTTTAATTTAGAACAGTACATTGTCACCATGCTTTTTTTCTATATCGTAACCAAGAATTTTACAAAAATTATTCGTTGATAAGTTTTATCATTATATAATCTTTATTTACGTTTTAAATGTTATTATTAATCTCACGAAATATTTTTATTTTTTATTATTATTTCATTAATGTACATTGGGTTGAAGTTCCGTTGTTGTGTTAAACATCATATTATCTAAAACTATAGATAAGTACGATTAAGAAAAGGCATGGAAATGTAAAAATAGTACAAACAACATACGGCCCTTTTTAATGAAAACTAAATAATTAAAGCCGTACTAAAATGAAGATGTGAAAATAGATTACATTTGAACCCATTGAAAACGTGTATTTTAATTAAAACGTAATTGTAATAATGCCATTACATATGAATTAATGTTTTGGTCCATAATATTCATACAAGAAAAAAAAAACACGACCTCAATTTAATGGATATAGTTTATATATGTGAAAGAATAAAAAACATATGGATATGGATTATTATTTTGGTTCATGATATTAATACGAAAAAAGGAAACTTTATGGCAATAGCATATGAAGCCGAAAAAATTATACACAAACAAACAAATAAAAGATTTAATAAATATATAGTATACATATATATATATTATATATGGAAAAAAATACAAATAAAATAAAATAGATGGAAATCTAGAAAAAGATCACATCCATGCAGGCTATAACGTTCAGTTGACTCCTAGCGATAAAGCAGATAATAAATTCTCCATTAATTTAATCCATTAAAGAAAAACCCCACCTCTGTCTCTCTCTCTCTCTCCTCCCCATCTCCCTCTTCCCTCGCCCTCCCTCTCTCTGTGCAAAACCCTAAAATTTCTTCGTTCTCTTCTCTCCATACCCACCACTTTCCGGCCGGACCCTTACCCGATTACCCGCCGACACCACCCGACCCAGTTCGCATTTACTCGCACTGATCCACTCGAAGTTGAAAAAGATAGGGTTCAGTGGGAGAGAGAGAGGGAGAGGGAGGGAGGGAAAAGAAACCCTAGAAGCGCCTCTGAACTCTCCGGAATCGGGTTTTCTGGCGAGACCTGGAACCGAGGTATCGAGTGGTAGTGGTTTATCCGGGGAGGAAGCTGTCGGAATTGGAGGAGGTGAAATGTATAAGAACCAGTTGCAGGAGCTGGCACAGAGGAGCTGCTTCAACCTCCCGTCGTACACTTGCATAAGGGAAGGCCCTGACCACGCGCCGAGGTTCAAGGCCACTGTCAACTTCAATGGCGAAATCTTCGAGAGCCCTCACTACTGCTCTACTCTCCGCCAGGCCGAGCACTCCGCCGCCGAGGTCGCTCTCAATGCTCTCTCCAATCGAGGCCCTTCTCATTCCCTCGCCGCCAGGATCTTGGTGGGTCGCTTCTCCTCTCTCTCTGTTTCCGATATATCGCATTTGATCCGATTTCTTGCTATTTTGAGCTGCGTGTGATGAGGTTATGTCGACTTTGCATGTGGGTTTCTGAGCAATGATGTGTTGAGTGACTGATGGTATGACTAGTCGGTGGTTAGGTTCTGTAGCTTAATCTCCGGAGATCGGAGCTGGTTTCGCCTGTCGTCTGGTGTTGAGTTGGTGGGACCGATGGTAAATTAGATTCAGTCGCATCTCTTAAAGGTGTTGAGATGTCAAAGATCTCAAGTTTGAATCTTTTCCTTAACCATCGATGCATCTGAAAAGGGATGTTATAGTTATACAAAGAGGATTTCTAGGACTATTTCGGGCTGTAAATCTTTTGTTTATTTGGTGCAGATTTGGTTAATAGTGGGTGAGAATGTACCGTATCTCTCAGCTTAAGATGACTGAACATGGTTCTTGTCGTGTGACTGAACATGGTTCTTGTCGTGTGACTGAACATGGTTGTCTTACTTTGGTTGACCAATGTCTTTCATGCAGGATGAAACGGGCGTGTACAAGAATCTCTTGCAAGAAATAGCTCAAAGAGTTGGAGCTCCTCTGCCTCGGTACACAACCTTTAAGTCTGGACTAGGCCATCAACCTGTGTTTACCGGCATTGTAGAATTAGCTGGAATCACATTCACTGGGGAGCCTGCTAAGAACAAGAAACAAGCCGAGAAGAATGCAGCTATGTCTGCCTGGTCTTCCTTGAAACAGTGTAAGTCCCTCCTTGAAGTTATTCCTTTCTCCAATTATGGATGATGTCCCTCGAAGCACAGATCTTTAACATTGTTCACTCTGCTGACTCGGTCTCGTTTGATCTTCTTGTTTTGGGTAACAGTGGCAAAAGAAACGTCAAGTTCTTCATCCGAGCCAGATAACACCGATGAATTAGAACAGGTGACCATAGCACGGGCCTTGATAAATTACCGTATTAAGGAAAATATTGGTACAGGAAGCTCATCTAGCACCCCTGTACCATTTGCAAAGAAGTTTTTCATTCAAAACCCTAGACCAACAAGCCCTCAGCCTTTGCCTGCCACCACCTCAAAGATTTTACCATTTATTTGTCCTAAGGCCGCTCTTAGAAGCAGAGCCATTGCCACATGTTCTGGTGAAAGAACCACTGTACCCACCTCAGAGAATCGGAGTTATCGTCCTCAGCATAGATTCCCGGCTCCAGGAGCAGCTCCTTATGTTCCTATGAGACAGTTTAGGTCAACATGCCATGGAATGGCTCCACCAGTTACAATCAGAACGGCAGTTCCCGTCTTCTCTGCACCTCCAATTCCTCCACCTTCTACCACCACGGCCACCCAGTCACAACCTGGTTTTGTTCCTCCGCCTATGCGGACCGCTGCTCCTGTGAGAATCGCACCACCAGTCACCATTAGGCCCGTGGTGCCTGTTTTTGCTGCACCGCCGGCTAAAAAGGAAGAACCTTTGCCTGTCAAGAAAGAAAATACTGAACCTATTGGGAAGCCTGCCCGGGAAATAGGAGAAACCTGGATGTTTGTTCCGGAGAATGAGAAGGAAAGAGCGGCATTTGCCAAACCCGTCTTACCCGATGTGGCAATCGGAGAAGTGGTAAAAACAGCTGCAGAAAATTTTGCCCTAAACCTTGGAGCAGAGAAAACTAACCCAGAGGCTGCCAAAGAGACGGAGAGAACAGCTTCTTCCCCAGCAGAATCCCTGGAACTACTTAAAATCTAAGAGGAGGGCTATTCAGAGAGGAACTTGCAAGACACATATGTGTGACTGTCTGGTTTTTTTGAGGTTTTTTTTTTCTTTGTTGTGTTTTTAACTCTTTGTTCAGAGGCCGACGGGTACTTTGATCATTCAGAAGGCAGAAGAAGATTGGTGTATTATATTGGGGGAGTTTAGGAAAGGCCTTTGGATTTGTAGCATTTTGCATCAGTGAAAAAACTATAAAATTTGCTATTTTAATTTGGTGCATTTCCCATTTTCCCCCTCTTTTATTTGCTTGTATCAGCAGTATTATTTTATCATTCGCTACCAATCAATATGCTGATGGCTGTTCCGTATTATACCGAAAACCTCGAGGGCATTTCCGTCACGTCACATCACAAGTCTCTTCTCTCGCACGTGTGTGGAGCATGTCCATGTGATGTCACTTAATGATGTTTTAAACATCATCATCGATGTGAAAGGGTACGCTAACCTCACCGGCGTCTCCGACTGGCGGAAGGCGACGGTCTCCTGAGAAGATGACACGTGGTGTTAAGTTTCTATTCCATGTGCCTATCGTTACCGTTGGTATCTCTCCGACCAATCGCGAAGTCTCATCCGACGGTTGGAATCACTCCACAGCTTAAGGTCAATTGTCATTTTCTTTTTGAAGAATCTGCTTTTATAATAAATAATTACTTTCTCCGTTTCAAAAAAAAAATACCATTTTAATTTTTTTGCGATTATTAAATAAATATAAAAAATAATATATAACCATATTAAATTACATTCGCAATAATTTTTATTGAAGTTAATTTTTTAATTAAGGATAGAATTATAAATTTTCTTATAAAATCAGAAAATCTAAAACGATATCTAATTGATTAAAAAATATTATATAAAATGATATATATTTAAAAATGAAGGTACAAATTTTTTATTTAAATCACAGTTTATTATTATTTTTGCATCAAAACAATTTGAGTACATATATGTATATGTGTATTTTTCAAATACGCTTATCTTACGACGATGATGTCAGATTTAAAATATTTAATCCTATACATTTCTGTTTGAAAATTCTAAAATATCATAGATGTGATTCAAATTGAACTTATTTAAGTCTATTTAATTTTGTATTGACATGTTTTTTTCTATAAACTAGATCAAATTTATCTCATCCATTTTAAGAAATAAGTTTTATTTAATAATTTGATACTTTTTTGTTCAAATGAATTACAATATGAATCAAATTATGTAATATATAATCTAAATATGTATATATAATTGATATTTCGTAAAATGTAATGTAGAATAATATCTTAAATTTTTAAAAGATATCAAATTATTAAATGGTTTTATTCTTATTATATGGTAATAAGCTATACCAATTAATTCAACAAAATACCTCATATATAAAGGTAACCATATTATGTTTCTTTTAATTTGATTTTTGTGCACCTATTTATTTATTTTTAAATTAAATTACCAAAAACTAGTTCTGTTGAAAAGTGGTTTCTTTGGGGGGGCTAAGGTTTATCTCAAGTCACCCCCGCAGGTGACGCACGTCTACCAATGCCACCTCATCATGGTCCTCCCCATAGAATCATACATACCATGACATCCATACATACATCATTGCAACATCACCATCATCATCAACACGACGAAGCTAGAAATAAACAGAAAGGGTAAACGCCCGACTATACCCCTCTCCCCCATTGTTGCACGTTTCGTCTTGTATCTGCCATTTGTGCCTCGATTTTTCAAAACTTTCGGGGAACTCCGATCTTCTTTATCTCTGGATTTCCGTCTCCGATTCTCCTGTTCGATTAGGGTTTTCGAGCTTTTCCTGGTAGAAATCGCCGCAAACAAAGCGAAATACCTAGATTCGTGGCGAATTTCTAGGTTTCCGGATCTGACCAGTTCTCTTCGTTCTTCAGCTACGGCGAAGCTGTTCGGTTCGTCTCCTCGCCGCCATGTTCTGGAAGCTCACGGCTCTTTCTGCATCGTCTCCGGTGAGTTTGGAGAAATTCCTTTGGTGTCCTGTCTAGTCCTTCTTTTTTTGGCCCAGAAGCTGATATTTGGCGATCTCCTTGGTTCGGTTATGAGGAGTTGGTGTAGTTTTTAGTTTGCCGCCTTCTTGTCTGAGAGACTGATATAGCTTTGAAGTAGATTAGACCCATTTCTAATGTTTAACGGATAATTAATGAAGTGTTTACCCGTTGACTCGGCTTTTTGAATTATTTCTGGTGATTACTTGTTCGAATCCTGGATTTGTTTGATCGCATATGCTGAATACTTCGGAGCTTTTACCGCTGCTACGAGTTCTACTGTATTGCCATTCTTATTTCCCCTGGGGTCTCTGGTGCTACTGTCTTTTCCTTTGGTCGGATTTTGCTATGCGTCGTAGTGAAATCATTGTTAATAGACTAACAGGGATGATACTAGTAAAATACGGTTTCGAAGGACTTGTTGGAGCTTTAAAAACCGTCTCTTGGGGATGATGCTAGATTAAGATGCATTTGTCTTGGTTTGCTTTCATCTGGTTGTGCAACGTGATGGGCGATATTTCATCTCGTGGACCCTATCTTGTTCTTGATCATGGAACCTGTGTTTCCAGTTTGGTTGTAATGCAATCGTTGTATTGACCTGCTCTCAAGAATGTTGTTAATATGGCCAGTCAGTCAATTCAGACAATGCGGAGTTCTCAAGTGCTGATATTTGTTTCTATGTGCAACATATAGGTGGAGTCGATATTAGACAAAGAAAATTTCACGTTGGAGGAGCTCCTTGACGAGGAAGAAATTATTCAAGAATGCAAGGCTCTAAATAGCCGGCTCATCAATTTGTAAGCTACTGTATCTTGTATACCTTTTTCTTATTTTTGGCCATAGTTTGTTTCCTCGCTGTCTATAAATCTTTCTCCTGTAGGCTATGTTGGTTAGGCCGCTGACATAGTAAAAATGACTTCATAAAACAAGAAATACTGTATACAAATTACAAAGATATAGAGAGATCATATGTTTTAAATTTCAACATCTTTTTTTGTTGATCCTTAGTTGTTGAGACTCATATTGCGTTGGCATTTGCTTTGACTAATTCCTGATTGGGTACTGGTGTTTACAGTCTAAGGGATAAAGCTCAAGTGGAGCAGTTACTGAGGTACATTGTTGAAGAATCTCCACAGGATGCTGACAACAAACGGGCATTCAGGTAATCTATGCTTTCTTGATACGAGCTTCTGGTTTGCCTTTTGTCACCCTTGTTCTTCTTGCTTCTCTTGGTTATATTTATTCAGTGGTGCTTGATAATGACATTTCCGGCTGATGATGGATTTTTCTTCTTTTTAGGTTTCCATTCATCTCCTGTGAGATATTTACCTGTGAAATTGATGTTATTCTAAAAACTTTGGTAGAGGAAGAAGAGGTATTTATTTATTCATCTAGTTACTTTTTTCTTCAAATAATATCTCATGGCTTTTCACTTTATGTCGTTCAAATTTGTTTCATTTTTACATTATATCCCATTTTGCTTGCTTTAATTTTTTTGACAGCTGATGGACTTGCTTTTCTCCTTTTTGGAACTGAATCATTCTCATAGTGCACTGCTGGCAGGCTATTTCAGTAAGGTACGCTCTTTTGCTACTAAAACGTAGCAGCATTAATAAACGGCTTTTGACTAACTCCATGTTTTTTTTCCAATCTATTGGATAGCCTGTGTGGTTCTGGGCTGTGCCTAATGTGCTTCTTACTTTACCTGTCTGTTTGATTTAGGTTGTCATATGCATTATGATCAGAAAGACTGCAGCACTGATGAACTATGTGAAAGTAAGTAATGCTTTATCACGCAAAAGCTTGTATTTTTTTTTGCATGCGTCAGCTTTTAGATTCTTTTATTGCCTGGATAGTGTTGGATATCAAATGGGGATGAGCCATGCATGTTGAGTGTTACCTGAGTTCAGTCTTTACATCGGGCTACCATTTTTCATTGAGGATATGAAATGAATGCGTTCAATTATCTATCAGAGAGTTCTGCAATACTTCTGCATAGGAAGATTTCTTTCTGCTCTGTGCAGATCATTCGACACTTATTACTTTCTGTCAAGTTTGAAAACTGGTGTAAGTACTTTGTGAAACTTGGTCATTGTACTAAGATGTGATATGATGTCACTGAATGCTTAAGTTGAACTGCTGATAGTTGGGTTGATGTGGCTAGAAATTTAAATTTAGTTGGTGAGTATTTGTTTTGTTTGGGACGTTTCACCGGTCACGGTTCTCAAATTAACTTGAAGTTGTTTTTTTCAGGGTCATCAAAATGTTTTCCGTCAGCTGGTTGATTTGATTGGGATAACATCCATCATGGAGGTAATTGGTTGTCTTAGATGCCGTGCGACTTGGTGTAATTAGCTCTCGTTGTTATTTCTTTTCTTTCTTTCTTTTTTTATGTCTAAATCCAAGTGTTGTGTAGGTTTTGGTCCGCTTGGTTGGTGCTGATGATCATGTCTATCCCAACTTTCTGGATGTGATGCAATGGTTGGCCGATAGCAATTTACTTGAGATGATTGTGGACAAACTAAATCCAACTGTAAGTAGTGAAGCGTGGCTGGGACAGCTCTCTTTTTTTCCCTTAAGAAAGAATCCTTTGACATGCCTGGTTTCTGACAACTTTTCCAAACATGAATCAGAGTCCTGCTGAGGTTCAGGCAAATGCAGCAGAAACATTATGTGCAATTACTCGAAATGGACCGTCAGCTTTAGCTACAAAGCTCTCTAGCCCTGGGTATGTAGTCTTTTCTTTCAATTTTTATTCTTCACTGGTTTTTTACTGATATTTAAGGATCATTTTTTGCTTGGTAACAATTCTGCCCTTTTTCCAGCTTTGTTGCAAGGATATTTGGTCATGCTCTGGAAGATTCTCATTCAAAATCTGGTCTAGTCCATTCACTTTCCGTATGCATTTCTTTGTTAGATCCAAGGAGATCTGCTGCTTCATCGCCTTTGTTCAATTCTTTTAGAGGTCAACATATGTTTGAGTCTCCTCTCCCAGTGACTCAGGAGACCATCGGTGCCATGCTACCAAAACTCAGTAAGTCGGTTTCCTAAGTTATAAGACATCCACATCGACAAGACAGGTTTTCATTTTTCCTGATTCTTTTATGTTGAGTCAGTTGCATGTGTTGCTTACATGGCTACTGGACCCTAGTATTATGGTATTCTTCTTTCAGCTTTGTTATGACTTCCAATGTATTTAGCATAGGGCTGCAGGTTAAGTGAATTTTGCTCGCTTCATTTTGGTTTAAATTATGAAGGCAAACTTGTTTTGTGTTGATTCCATGACTGCTGGAATCTCTTCCTAGCCCGCCTTGTTCTTGCTTATGTTTGTTTTACAACTCGTTTGAGTTTTCTCAAGATATAGAGTACTTTCTTGATTATTCCTTGATATTTTTTAAATGCTGAAGGTTGCATGTCTTCTTCTGCAGGTGACTTGCTTATGCTTCTTACTGTATCATCTGACGGCAATGTTTTGCCTACAACATACGGAGAGCTAAAGCCTCCTCTCGGGAAGCATCGTCTAAAGGTCAGATCCAAAACCTAGCATTTTGGTGAAGAATTTGTTTTCAAATCTATTTAATAGAAACTCAATTATTTGATCTCTTTATTTTCAGATTGTGGAATTCATTGCTGTTCTGTTGAAAACCGGAAACGAAGTTGCAGAAAAGGAATTAGTTAGATCAGGAACCATTAAAAGGATCTTAGATCTATTTTTCGAGTAAGTTCTTACCTTCTAACGCTTTACACGTAGTAGAGGTCTGATATTTCGACCTGGATGTTGCCATGTGCATGATATCTAAAATGGTTAATCACCTTGAAATTTTGAAGGTACCCATACAATAATGCCCTGCATCACCAAGTGGAGAGTATCGTTCTTTCTTGTTTGGAAAACAAAAGTGATGCAATGGTGAACCATATTCTTCGACAATGCGATCTGATTGGCAAAATTCTCTCATCAGATAAAAACCCTGTTCTATCCGGTGATAACCAGGTATGTGATTTGCTGTATTTACAAAGATTTTGATTTAACTTTGATCTGCCACAAGGTGTGTTATGTGGCCTAGAGTTTTAAAACAGCTCAATTTAGATCAATCATCTTTTTGCTCTGATTCTTATTCTTATTGACTACATAGATATTATATTATTCTTCCTTTTTCTCTTTTTTTTTTCTTTGCTATGTAGCCTACTATACCCGCCAATGGGAGAAGACCACCACGGGTTGGGTATGCCGGACATATCACTAGAATCTCAAACAAACTTGTTCAGATGAGTAACAGCAAAAGTCAGATAAAGGCATGCCTTCAGGTGGATTTCATAACATATACATTCTTCTGTTGAGTATTTTATTATTCTAACACTTTAATCGATTTAGACGCACAAAAAAACTTTCTGTAGTCATGTGGTGAGTAGCTTTAAAGGCTCTGGTTCAAGATTGGTCTCCTACGTTTTGTGTTCTTGTAGTTTTTGTTGATTAGAATCTCCTCTTTCTCGAAATCTCTAGGAAAACAGCGAATGGAACGAGTGGCAAGTTAGTGTTCTGCATGAACGCAATACTGTTGAGAATGTCTACAGATGGGCATGCGGGTATCTCTTATTAACTCATGCTCCCTCATTACTACATAGCCTGTCCCATTGTAGTAAGCACCGGAATTATTTGCGCCACATATGTCTAGATGAATATGGTTGCTATGCTTGGAACAATTGGAGTGCCATATGTTTATCTTTTCGGAAACCCCTAAAGATTCTCATATTGGTGGAGCTTCGTATTGTTATTACTTCCTATGGTGATCCCACGAAATATTTGTACTGCGAATCTGTGCCGGGTTTTCAGAACCCTCCATTTCACTTTTGGTTATAAATGCTCTGACATTCAGGCGCCCGACTACACTACAAGATAGGACAAAGGATAGCGATGAGGAAGACAGGGATTATGATGTTGCAGCGCTCGCCAATAATTTGAGCGAGGCATTTAGATACAAAATATATGGAAATGATGATAACGAAGAGGTATTTGATTTTCCCCCCTCCTCTCAAAGGGGTTTTGCATTTGTATACAGTTTTACCAGCGCCAGTTTAATCCTGCCATCTTCTCTGGTTTCAGGACCGCAATGCTCTTGATAGAGACGATGACGTAAGCCTTTGCACTCCTCCCTCCTGTTCTGCCTTCTTTTTCGAGGATGAAGGAACTTTTCGGGTTTTACAACATGATAGTCACAAAATCTGTTGAGGTCATGAGGTGTATAGCCTAGAGACATTTTTCGTTTTTGAAAGTAGTTTCTGATGTCGAGATTGTGTTCATAATATGCAGGACGTGTACTTTGACGATGAGTCCGCTGAAGTCGTTATTTCGTCCTTGAGACTTGGGGATGACCAAGGAAGGTGAGTTCTTCCTTAGAAAACCGATCTACTTGTTTCTTTGATTGCATACTCGCATAAATTGGTCGTGACAGTTTGTTTTTAAAGGTGACTTAGTCGTTCTCCTTACTTGCCGCAGTTTGTTTACAAATTCAAACTGGTTCACATTCCAAGACGACAGATTCGGAAATGTCTCTGATGGGACGGCGTCCAAGATGATGGAGGACATAGACTTGAACGGAAACTCTAACGCGAACAATAGCGGCAGCAGCAGCAGTGATGATGAGGTTGTAGTTGGAGAGAATGACGATCTAACTGAGGAAGCTAAGGACACGTCGACATCATGTCCGAGCACTCTACCTTCCATGGGATTCTTTGATTTTGACACTCCGGAAAACACGGAAGCAGCGTTCACCGAACGTCCACCCGAATGGGTCGGATGGAGCGAACCATCCGAAACGCAAGTAACCGGCTCAAGCCTAAACCCATTCATCGATCACGATGATGACGACGCCAACATGAACCTCGACATACCAATGCCAGACATCAAAACGGAACCCGTGATTGCAAATGGCTCCCCCACAGGAACGGGCCAGAAAATGGCGCCACCAGTGAGGTCATTGTTCGAGGAGGATGTGGAGTTTGTGGGAGTGGAAGCGGAAGGGACGGAGAAGGCAATGGAGCAAGCATTGAAGGAAGGGGTAGTAGGGGAAGCGGGACCGCTGAAGAGGAACATGAAAATGAACACGAAGAGCGAGAAAGCGGAAGAGAGCTCGGGAATGAATGAGTTCAACGACGTGAATTACTGGAAGGTGGATCAGGAATTGGCTGTTTTGGAGTGAAATACCCAACAGAGAGGTACGTATAAAACGGTAACTCAACTCAGTGTCCTTTTTGTACATTATAATTTTGTACGGGAGAATGGGAGAAGAAGAAGAAATCTTGGGCTTTTGGAAATTGGCTAGAGTTTTGTGTCAGTCACCCTTGCTGTTGCTGTTGCTGTTGCTGATGCCACCACATTATTTATTTCAGTTACTATATTGTTGTCTGCTGTTGCTGTGCCTTTTTCTTTTGTTGTTGTCTAATTGTGTTTATATTATTATTCTTTTTAAGTTATGCCCCTTTCTCTTCTCTCTCTACCTGCTTTAGTTATATATGTATGTGTTGATTGGGCCATTTGCTATATCCATTGTTGTTTACCTTTTGTTTGATTCTGTTTCGGCCTCAAGTCGACCCTCTTCATTGTCTATGGATCTCTCCTCGTGGTTAATCTAATCTGAAAGTTACGCGATGGCATCAGGCATCAGTGTCTGTGTATATATGTGTGTGGCTCTATTTTCCTTTATCTGAAAAGGGTTTATAAAATCTATCTGATTACGTGATAAACTCGAGAGCCATTCGAGGGTTCTGGTTAAGTATAGGTTGTGAGACACGTACACACGCGGCATAAATTATATGCGTATTTCTTCCCCTCGTCTCGTTTGTTTGACATCAGTCTTTCTTTCATCACACATCTCGTTGTGGTTTGACTACATGCCAATCTCTCTTTTTATCTCCACTAAAAGAACGTAGACACGAACGAATAACCAACCCTATGAATCTAATGATGACGACTTGTATAACTTCAATTAACGTTCGGTTGATTTTTTTTTTAATTTTAAAAAAAAAAGGCTTCTTAGAACTCTTTCTAATTATTACTCTTTTGAAGAGAATTCCACATCACATTCATGGGGTTATCATTTCTTCTTGAAAATAGTAGTACATAGTAGGCGCGCTTCCTTTTGGTTTTGATGCTCTGAAATCATGTCAAAAGTCTCACCAAATAAACCAAATGAAATGGGAACCTACCCGCCACTTTATTTAAAACCATAAGCATGCATGGATGCCGTGTTCGACCTTCTCCCAATTTCTGTACATAGTGATGTCTTTTCTTTAAAAAAAACTGCTATCTTTTGTTTGATATTATTATTATTATTATTATTACACACGGAGTTTCGATTTTTAATTATCATTAAGAATTGTGGAGACATTACATAATTTTCAATAATTACCCATTGAACTTTTTCTGTTCTTTAAATATTTATTCATCCGAAGACAGAAAAAACATATTGTCACCTACAATAATGATAAAAAAAAACTATCCACTTTAAAATCATGATCATAACTAGGAAAAATGGCAACGTATAAAAACTCATGAGATACTATTTGAAGTCAAACCAAGCACATAGGAGGATACAATTTATCAACGATTTTCTATTTGATCTCCGTTTTCTCAAATGAAGAATGGATTTGTTATTATGATTGAATTCAATCATATGATTCTATTAGATCTAAAATATCGATTTATTTATCCACACAAAAAGAATAACTAAGATGCTGAAACAAAAAAAAAATCTATTTTTTTTCTGTCTGCACCACTAGTCATCAAAATATTTCTTACAAGTCTCAAAGTCATAAACTTTTTTTCCGTGTCCCAATTAAATTTTGTTTTATCTAATTGATATGAATGAAGAAACACCCACAAAACCATTTGATATTGACCCTTAATACATATACATACATATATATATATATATATATATAATAGTGCTATTTTTTTTGCGTGAAGCGCTTTTGTCATTGAAACTAATCTTACAAGGCCTTAAGCAATATTTTGTTCACTCGTACCTATGAACAAAACAGTTGCAATGACTTTTTTAGAAACAAAAAAAAAACAGGTTACGGTATATTGAGTATAACCGGGACCGTGATATCGAGATATTAAAGACCCAAAATATCGTTGACCAAAAAAATAGCGTGCCCGTAAAATCTTCGACAAACCGGTGAAAGCGGATCACGATAATCTAGACCGCACGATGTAATACTATCGATGTGATCTATACCGTACACGTGGACTCGCCTGGGAGACATTTCACGCTTAACACGTAACTACCGTGTCAACCTAACGAGAACGGTTTCGACGCCAAATTAAATTACAAAATGATAATAAATAAATAAAATGTGGTGGGACCTACCGCACGAACGCGACGTCTCTGCAACGCTATCAAGATCTCTGTCTGTTTCGCCTTATGGCAAAAATGTTTTTTTTTTTTTTACATTTTAAATTTCAGTAACTTACTTTTCATTGTTTCTCTTTTGGGTTTAGAACTTTTGCAAAATTGTTTTTCATCTCTTTTATTTTTTTTGACAAAATTGTTTTTCATTTTCTTGCCGTCGAAATTAGATATATGATATTTTGCTACGGGTTCACTCTTTTTTTTTAAAAAAAAATTGAGGCTTTCATATCTACAGTTTCGTTTATCTCTACAATCATTAATAATAATTTTGAAATTTGGAAAAAAAAATTATCTTAAAGTAATAACTAATTTTTATGGTAAATATAATATAATAAAAATTACGGTTCGAATTCAACATGTATTATAGAATTATACACCTTGTGCTGCAGGAATTTCTTTTTTTTTAATAAAAGTTTATTATTTAGAAATAATAAGATGATTATATGACAAAAGTAATGGATCACACTATCATGCCAACCAAATTATCTAATAAAATTGCGGTTGGTGAATTTGATGTAGTGAAAATGTTATTTATATATATATATATATATATATATATATATATATATGATGTTGGTCGACTTGGATCCCGTGTGAGTGCTATCTTTCTGTCCACACACGATTGAATAAATATTATAGTAGTAATTATTTATTTATAAGGTAATTAAACATTGTCATTAACAAATTTTGTCGGGGTTCGCCACTCGATGCATCTTAGTCTTACAACAAAATATTGAATCTCAAGATGAAATGTGAATTTCTAAGACCCCTTTAATTATAATCCATGGGGGACCTCAACCAATTAATGCATCATTAATCATGCTTTTATTGTGTGTCGAACATGTAATCAAATTATCATTAAACGACCATTTCCCCAATTTCCACTGCCAATACAGAAAAAAAAAACACAACTAAAATTTTGAATTTTAAAATAATAAAAAAAATGGTCTTTTGGAAGCTAATAATTTCGATATTCATAAAACTAATGGCAGGATGTGATATTCGTAATTTTTTCGGGTCTCTACGCTATATATATTCGAATTCAATTACGTATAATACAAAATGCATATTTTATGCCACAGGACAGGATAATTCCGGAAGATAAAACTATGCATTATATGTATTCGAAAAAATAAAACTTTTTAAAATGAAAAAAAAAATTGTTTTGCTTTTCCTAATTAATTTTTTTAAAAATAGAAATCAAATCAGACGTATTCTGATGATTAAGAGAAGCCGCGATGAATCGTTCAAGGACCCAGCCACCGAAACGCCGGGAGAGAAGGGCCGCACGTGAAGGTTCCACGTGTCACAAGTGGCCCATGTACTCACGTGCGGTTCTTTGACTTTTTGACAACGTCGCCAAGGACAGTCAAGTTTTTGCTGTCATGTTTTCCGGATTTTAGATCCCGACGCTATTTTATTATTCTATTTTGTTTTTGTTTTTTTGTTCAACTATAACCCAAAAAAAAAAAAAACGTTATCTATCAAGTCTGGAGTCTCTTCTATTTTTGCTTAATCTTTTTCTGGTAAATTTGACGTTTTCTCCAAGTTTTATATTCAATTTTATTTTTAAAATATTTCGTGTTTTTTAATGATGTTTTAAAACGTTAAATTCTATTTTTAATTAATGAAAATCATACTGTCAGACCAAACTATGGGTTCGAATCGCATATAACTCCATCCTTCAATGTGTGTATATATATACACGATCATTGTTAATATTTTGGAGAATTTCTTATTTTCAGTACGCATTTAATTCAACTATACTATATATGCAATGAACATATATGTGTGCGTGTTTTAACAAAAAAAAAACATGTGTGTGTGTGTGTACTAATAACATTGATAGATTTAGATGTATATAATTTTTTTTTTAAAAAGAAGACAACTTTACGTATAAATGAAGGCATCAAATTATAAAATATATATATATATATATTTTTTTTTGTTGTTAGCAGTTTTATGAAATTCAGGACGGGTATATAATGAATGATGTCCAATGCCATTTTACTTGGAAAAAGCTTTATGGACGACGATTACGAAGCAGAACATGTGTGGTCCAAAAATGGTTGTAACAAACCCTAATTTATCAATCATATGCAAAAAATATATCTACGAAATCAACCCATTTGTAGCATTTAACAAAAGATTTTCAGCAATGCCAAAATTCCAAATAAGGCCACAATATCTAAATTGTTAACGCAATTTGTTTATATTATTTTCTCACAACACGAGACCGATTGAAATAAATCAAATCTAATATATATATAAACATATTATGAATAATTTTTTGGAATCTTTTCTTCGATAGGACCGTCGCGCAATTATGCGCATGGTGTCCTTAGAGCAGAATTTGAAGTTTTGTGTGGAATCTTTGTTCAAGAACAAAGGAAAGTAATTATGGAATTGAGAATTTACAAACAATGTATATGTGCATATATATATATATATATATATCTAAATTTGTTTCGATTTCAAATGAAGGAATCTTTTTATTAAATGCATGGTCTTATTGAGGTGTAGATATGTCATTTTCGTAACGGATGAATAGTAAAGTAAGACGATTGCTTATGTATCCGTAAAGTTTTTTTATTTTTTTTGAATAAATCGCAAATAATGAAGCCGTACTCCAATCATGGAGACCAACCGAGCATCCTGCCATGACGATCCATACAAGTATTTGTCCCACACCTATCCATTGCTAAATATCACCTAAACAAATTTCAAAACAATCGATTTTCCACATGACCTATCACCACCGAATTTAGCATATATATATATATATATAAATCGAAAAAAACCCAACATTAATATCGAAAAGGAAATTATAAAAACTCGAGAATATTTTCTTTTTCTTACAAGGCGATGGAAACACAAAATCACCCTACAAAAAAAAAACAAAAATATATAAAAACAAATCTTGAGTTAAAACCCTAAATCGCTTGCGTCAGTATGGTTCAGGCGAGGATGCTAAGCGGACCGGTTTTGCTAGACGCCTCTATTCCATTCTCGCCTTTCCCGATTCCGGTTATCAAGTTCCTGCACATTACCGGTAATCAATTTCAATACCGAATCAAAATCAAATTTGGTTTTCTATCATTACCATAACCAAACCAAAATCTCCCAAATGCTTGGGGCTTACTTTCTCACATTGTCGCCACCGGTATCCATCTTGATCGTTAACCGCTTAGCCGTTCTCATGAAATCACTGCATTAAACCGAAACATTAACCGACGAGAAAACCAAATCGCACCAAACCAAGAGACCGAGCTTCGATTTTTCTCCGAATTTTACCTGAAGGGTTCGTCTCCAATACGTTTGACGTCACCATCTGCAGCCCGGTACAAAATGTGGATCAACAGATCAGATCTTTCTTCTATTCCAAACATATCGACCAGTTTCCGGTACAACTCTTGGTATGACCCTATAACCGAAAGATCTAGGGTTCGTCCAACATCCTCGGATTCCATGAACACTTTGCAGTGACCCGTCTCGAGTCCTTCCAGACTGCAGTTCCAAGTTAAGCCACGAGCAGAATGCTTCTCCTCGGCCTCTGGATTCAGTCCTTCCAACGACCGTTTTCGGCTCAGGACTTGCTGTTCGGTCAAGATGGGTTGACCAAACAGCAAGAACTGGTGGGTCTTACCAGAACCGGTTTTGCTATCCTGAACCGAAGCAGGGTTCCCCATCGTCAGAGAGCACGAGATGCTCGGGGAAGGATCCCTCTGCAGCCAGGGGAGGGGAGTAGTATCATAATTCCGCGGTTGAGGGTGGTTAAGCTGCTTGAAACCGGGGAAAAACAGGCCCGGGGACTGGAGCTTGTTGTTGCCGGAGAAAGAGCTGAGATTGAGATCGGACAAGAAAGAGGATGGTCCGAACAGATGATGAGCATGCCTGGCTCCCTGTATGCCTGCAGGAGCGTTGTTGTTGTCATTGTGGAGAATCGACATCGGGAATTTGGAGCCTTCGAAGGGGAAATCGAAAGGGGGAGGAGGAATCTTGAGCTTCTTGCGAGGGGAGAAGGGGGAGAGATGGATCGAAGGCATGTTCGATACCAATTCCACCAGCCACGGACTCACCCTTTTCACGTTCTGCAGCAAATCCGGCTCGTCCCACGCCACCTGAAAACCAATAATTCCGATCCTCTCTTTTACAACAACAGCAACATATATATATATACACACACTGTATCACCTCAAGTCAAGATTTTATCCACATTTTTCCGACAACTCAATCAAGGATGGAGACTCCACAGTCCAAACATTGAAAACCCGACGGGTTCGTACTGACGAAACGTTATCCAAAATGCAAGAACCGGGCAATCCAATAAAGCAGAGATGAACAGAAAGAACGTGCGGATCAAGACAGGAACAGGGTGAGTTCCGAACCTGAAGGAGGCGCCAAGGGGAATTGGGCCAGCGGATGGGATCGGCGACCTGAACGGCGGAGACAGTGCCCATGAACCAACTGATCCTGGACGAGTCCTCCGTCTCGAACGCCATCTTGAACCTCATCCCACTGCACCACCTTATACTCATCGCCCTTCCCACCTCACTCGCCTTCACGCAGAACTCCGGCGTACTCGCTCGCGGGTAGTACACCACCTCGAACGCCTTCCCACGTCTCGCTCTCTCCACCGCCTCCGCCACTACCCTCCCTTCTCCTCTGTCGCCACGCTGTCTCGCCGCCGTTCCTCCCTTGCTCTACTCACAGAGTTCGCCGGAGTCGGGGCTTCGGAGGAAGACGATGGAGTCGCCGGCGACGAGCTTCTTGTGATTGACGAAGGTGCTCCAGCCGGTGGTGAGGAGATGCCGGCGAGGGGTGCCTCTGTATATATGCCGGAACTTCCACACCTCGCCGTGGATGTCCTTCGCCACCACCGTCTGCACCGGCGGATCCGCCGTGTAATCCAGACGCGGGAATATCGTCTCCGCGCAGTAACGCGGCACCGAGAAACCGCCGCCGTTGTTCGCGTCTGACTGCGTTAGCGTTTTGGCGAAGGACGCCGGCTTGTTCACGTCTCCGCCGCTGTCGGGAACGGCGTCATTTTCTGGGTCGTCGGCGGTGTTGTTGGGGAAAGGGATCAGAGTGATCTTGGCGAAGACTTCGTCGGTCTCAGCGTCGGCGAGGAACTTGACGGCGGCGACGCGGCAGAGGGTGAGGGGAGGCACGCGCGGTGGCGCGTGGAAGTCCAACGGCGCGTGGGCGTGTTCGGCATGGCCCTGTGGGAAGTAGAAGACGGTGGAGGTCACCGGCGGGATTTGGACCATTGATCCTGCGCACGCGTGCCATAGCTGCGGATCCAAACTTTTCTCTTGCTCCATTCTTGTGTTTTTTTGCCTTTTTTTTTCCCGAGAAACAAGCAAAGGAAGAGCAGCAGCAACAGGGGAAGAAAATAAGAGAAAGCCTGAAACAGTGAAGAGAAAAATAACACAGATCAGTTGGAGTTCAGACAGGTTTTCGCCATTAGAAGGAGAAATTCGATGGGGAAAAAACAGGGAATTCGAAGAAATTCTTCCAAACCTTGGAGAGAAAGAGAGAGAGACGGGGGAAAATGAAAAGGAGAAAACAAAAAGGTCAGTCCTTTCGCATTCCTTCGGACAACAAGATCAACTCTCGGACATGACTCTACAGAGAGAGAGAGAGAGAGAGAGAGTTTCTAATTACTGTTAGATTTGGAGAGAAAATTTCCCAGATTTCTCAGGAAAAGCAACAAAGCTCTGTGTTGTTGAGGTGTTATAGTGAAGGCAAAAACAAAAAAGGAGAGAAGCTTTAATGGCCACGATCAGATTTCAGAAGAGGGGCAATGATCCGGTACGGACTAGACCACCGTAACAACAACACAAGCTTTCTTCTTCTTCTTGCCATTTAAAGGTTAAAACTTCCGAATCTCTCTCTCTCTCTCTCTCTCTCTCTCTCTCTCTCTCTCTCTCTCTCTCTCTCTCTCGATATACAGAACGTGGTAAAGATTAAAAAAATGAAAAATGAAAAATTTAAACATTTGGGGAAAGAAGAGATTATTATTGTTTGATAAAAACCGCAACTAACTTGTTTGTTTCCTTTGCTCAGGGAACTGTTCCATAAAAGTGACTTCTCTACAGAATTATCATTATCTCGTGTCGCCATATATCGAACACGATATTTTGACACCGGCAAAAATTACTTTTTTTTTATATTATATTAAATCTAAAAAAATTAAAACTATTCTTGACCAGACTCAAGCCTAACCATGGTTAAGCATTTTCGTGTACTCTACTTTGTTTGGTTAAGAAGGATTCGGTTCGATTAGGCTCCCTATGGTCAAAGAGGATACGTTAAAATCTCGAGCGACTAATTTATCAAGTAATCTGCTTTATGAGATTATTGGTAATTTTGATTCGAAATTCTAAAATATTTCCACCATAAATAAATTTGTGTTGGGATTTTCATACGCTTTAATTCCCATTGTTTGTTTCAATTATCATCGCTTAATTATTCTTCCGTCTATTCTAATGAAAATTTTCAATTCATTACTAAAAAAATTAAATTGTAAATGAGAATGAAAAAGTATTTTTTAAAATTACCAATGTGAGTGTGACATGTGAATATATGACGTGGATGGATTAATTAGAAGAGAAATAGACTTTTTTAAAATATAAAATAGTCCTTGATTGAATTACAATTTTTATACCGCCACAGTTTTTTATATTACCCAACAGTTTTTTATATCAGCAACTTGGTGCAAAGCACACAGAAGTTGGCGGTTCGATTTCTGGTTGGATATAGGTTTTTATATGGACTACTCTGATCCTCTAAGAAATATAGTTGAGCCAAAGGTCCGGTGAATTTCCGGATTATAAAAAAACATTCTAGGTTATATCAACAAGTGTTGCAGTATCCTAAAAAATTTATTAATTTATGAAAGATATATTTTACAAATTCATAAAAAAAATAATGTATTAGAAAGTTTTTATGCCTTGATGCAAAAATCTACTTTCATTAAATCCATTCATAATTAAGTTTTTTGTAAGAGCTAATTTTGTTCTCTATTCATACATGATGAACGAGCTAATTTAGTATATTCACTTTCGAAAATTGTTTGTTTGTAAATATCAATCTAAAAAAACATTTTCAAATGTTTTTTTTTATAATAGTATAAATGCTCAAAATTTCACCGTGTACAGATCCTCGCAATTACTAGTTATTATATCCTTTAATTAAGTTCGTTCATAATTTATAATTATGTTTTTGTTTGAATGATCATATTTTATATTTAAATATGCATGCGATGGTAAGTGGCGATTGTTTTGGTCGGGCCTGTTCATATGACACGTGCCAATTGTCATCTGACACGTTTGGATAATCTCTCCTCTATTTTTTTTCTTCCAAATTTTCTATTTTATCTTCTTTATTTTTCAACGTATTATATAATTTTCTAATTTTCTTTTATTGCAGACAACGTATTATTTTGGTGATTAATGGTGGCACATGTTCATGCTCATGCTCATGCAAAGAGAAGTGGACCTACTAAGAATGATTTTTCAGGCTGTTACATAAATTGGCCAATGTGTTATCCCTCTTTTGTCTACATTCAGTGTTTTTGTCGTATTTCCACAATAATGCATGAAAATTTATCACAATGTTGTTCTGAAAGTTGATAATCTATTTAATGATTTTATTTTTATATTTTTTTGTTATTTATATTATTTTTTCTATCTAAGATTACAGATGCATGGGATTTTAGTTTGGGTTAGAAAATTTGATTTTCATAGATTTATCATTTTTGTATGACTTATTTTGAAAATTTACCCACAAATAATACATATATATATATAGTACTTTCATCGTATATATATTCACTGTATGTCGTAATTGATATCATTATAAATATCTAAATTAAAGAAAATGCCAAATACAATTAATCAAAATCCTAAATATAAATGCATAGTATTTTTCATCCAAAGTATTATACTAACCATAACAAAACTGAACACGTGTTCAACACCAGCAGAAACTTCAGACATGACATATAGAATGCAACCTAGTCGATATATATATATATACATATATATATACATTCTCGTATATACACACATTCTGTAGTTCATTACATGCAGGAGTGACCAAACAAAAACGATAATTAGAAAAATTATATATATGTATGAATTGACAAGAGAGAAAGATATGGCGAAGTGGTCAATTAATGCATGCATGGCTTCTGAACAAAAAAAATGCAGAAATTACGTGACAACAGATCCATTTTCGTCCATAATTTCCCCTCTGACATTCTGTTTTTTTTTCAATCGTATATATACACATACAAAGACAATGTGTGTGTGTATATATATATATATAGGTATGAAATTCCATGGCAAAAGAAGAACCAATAACACTGAATCACTGATACATGAGAACTGTATATACGCGTGATGTTTCTGCATGAGTGGTCTCTATATTTACCAGATTTGTGATTAACAATCGTATTTACATATATACACATATATAATAAGTTCTTTGTTTGCAATCCTATTGGCTATTGAGATCAGTGTTAGTACATGATATAAGTGAAAAAACTATTTTATGACATTAAAGTTGATCATTTTCAGATATAAATCTGTAACTAAAGATGGGTCCATCTAAATCAACGTCACAAAATAATACGAATGATGATATAATAAGCTTGGGTTAAATGCTATACACCGTTTATGAAGAGAAAGCAAAGCATGATATTAGATATAATTTTTTTTCATCGTTTTATTTTAGTCTTATTTATTGATTTCGTCTTTTTCTCCTAAAATTTATATTTCGAACAAAATAATGAAAAATAGAATGAGGAGATAAATTTTAAATCCAAGATGGTTTCTTCTAATATAATTTCAATTTCAATATTGGCAAAAAAATAAAACCAAGTAAAGATGAAGAGAGTGAGATATGGAAGGCAAGAGATGTGAGAAAGTGAACCTTCCACGGGAAAGAGAAGTGTCACTGAATACGAGAGAGAACCGAACATTCAAAGAGTCTCCGCATACTGAACCTTCCAAGTGAAGCAGAAGTGTCGAGGCATGCGAGAGAGGTAGCTAAACAACCAAAAACATCTCCTAATATTTCCCTCTCCATGAACCAATTTTCGTACTCAAAACAAAATTAACGACTCGGAATCAATATAATATATATGTTACTTAAAGTTTATTTTGATTTTTATTTTATTATTTACACAATTATATAATTTATTTCACGCGCAATCGCATAATAGTTGTTATGGTTTCCAATTGTTTGATTAGAAAGCAAATAAATCGACTTAAAAATCGTGATTTGAGTATTGTAATAAGTTCACAGATTTCTAGGTAATAATGATGGGTTTTTTCATTTTTTTTTGTAATCCATTTGTAAAAAAAAAGCTACGAGTATTTCGTAATGTGTAAGGAAATGAAAAAAAAAATCATAAAATATGATTTCTCAGTTAATTTTGTAAATTTAATTTCGATGATGTAATGGAGAGGAAGTGGAATGTCTTCGCCCACAAAAGGGGTCGTGGGGGGAACATAGGCATTAAATGAAAGTGGGCCAAAATGGGCCCAACACTGACAAGGACGCGGGAAAGCTATCTTGCACAATAAGTGCACGTTAACATGATGAACTCCACGACACGCTAACGTGCACCATCTATGACAGCTAGAGAACAACTACCGGAACCCATTAGCTGAAGTGTACGAAAGTTGACCTTGTTTCTGCTGATCTGGCATCTATCTGTTGCCACGTGTCACCATCATCACCGTTGCCCTTTGTCTCCCACGTTTGTCCCTTTTTTTGGCCGCTTTTAGTTTTTCTTTTTCTCAATGTGGACAATTAAGAAGCGTCATGATTGGTGAATAATTCGTTTTTTTTATTATTTATGGTCTTTTTCTTAAGTAAAAATCATATAGATGTTTTAGAAAATCTGTTTTTTTTTTTAAAAAAAAAGTGGTCTTATATAATATTTATGTGTTAAAACGCCATAGATATATAGGTTCCGTAACTATATACGTGATTTTTTTTTTGCCTTAACCATTGATGATATTGACGACTGCAATTGTGAATTACTAAATATAATATTTTTATTTGATTTTCTGATATTTAATTCAGTTTCTTATAGTTTCTTAATTATTTTTCAAAGAAAACAAGTCTATAAATTGGTGGGTTTTTTTAATCTGTTATCCAATAATTTAGTGTGAATTCGATCCTATATAGGAAATTTTTTTTGAGTATGATTATTATATCAATATCCAAGATACATATAGAAGGTATAATCGATTATATGGAATTCGATCCTATAAATCCTCTTACTTGTTATCCACAAATCAGTAAAAAACATTGGATGTTTTTTTTTTCAAATTTTTTTTTCCAAACAAATTTTAGTGTGAAATTATATTATAATTAAATAAAATTTTAAAATGAAAAAATGAGTGAGGGTGGAAAGAAAAGACGTAAGTGGGCAAGCGTGGGTCCCACGGGAGGAGAAGGACAACAGAGTCTGAGGAATCTCTGTCGTTATGTCTTCAGATTCAGATTCGGATGACACCTTCTGTTCATCTGTCTTTCTTATTTATTACATATTACATTTATTTTTTTTATCTCTGCTATCGTTTGCGATCATTTTTTTTTTACCTTTCTGTCTTTGCTAAGTAAATATATACTTTTTTGTTTTTTTACTTTTCAATGTTAAATTTCACAGTAAAAAAGTTTCAGGTTGACAACACACAATTCAATGTGTTTGACCGTCCATCCATTGTTTGTTCATCAGCAGCAACATTTTATGTATATGTTTAGAAATTTTGGTTTGAACAGCATTCAGATTAAGGATTTAGCGCGATAATATATTCTCTCTGGCTCTTGAAGATATAAATAAGAGAAATTAAAGGTATACTAAAATTTTAAATATCTCTCAAACGATGAATAAAAGAAAAATATTTGAAAAATAAGTTAAATAGTTATTTTAAAAAAATTATTATACACAATCACATATTTATAAATACCTTTAAACCCTAAAATTTTTAAAAATAATTAATTTCATATTATCTGATATTTGCGAGTAACTGCGAGACAATATCTAATATTCGAATCCGAATAAAAAAATCCGGGTATTTCAATATCATTACTTGACATCATATTTCATTTTATTGTATACGAAATTTTGGATATCCAAGATATATATTGAGTTGGGTATTCAAAATTCAGATTTCTTTAGCGTTTAAATGAAATATGGATGATTTCAAAATTTATGTTTTATGTTTAGATATTTTATACAAATCCGAGTGGATTTTTTTAGATTACATTAGAAGAAATTAAGTGGAATATAAAATATGTACAAATGAATAAAGCTTGAGAATAAGATGATAAAATCCAATCCAAATGTACATGTGGTATTTAGATTTTTGGATAAATATTATCATGCAAAGGTAATGAGTTTACAATGTGAATTTTTTTCCAAAATGCTTAGGAATGTATATTGATTTTAAGGTGTAAAATAATATTCACGTATAACATAAAGTCGTTCTGGTCGATTTTTGTTTGTTCTATGACTTCTTGTACTTCTATTTTTGTTCACCAACTTCCATTATTCATTACACAGTTTCCATGCCCTTATTATATTGTACAAGAATATATATATATATGATAAATGATTAATACTTTTGAAAATTCATTACATCTGAATTTCGGGAAGATAATGGGAAGTGGGTCCGAAATTCATCACGGCCACGTCAGCCTGTCACCCCCCATGCTCTCATCCCCACCTATTATTTTTCTTCCTTTTTTTTTATTGGGTGCTAAAACACCTCATTCCTTTTTTTTTTTTGTGTGTGTGTCTCATGAACATCAATGTGTATACATACAATAGTTCCGAAGCAAATTGTCATATACGAAATATAGCTTCTTCAAAAAAATACAATATATACATGTATATATATACTCGGTAGACCAATGGTGAATTTGGTCTGGTGTTAGATTTAGTTTGGTGTGGTTTATAAAAAAAGGGCCGAGACAATTCAGAACACAACATTTATTACACAGTTTATGGGCCGAATGAAACATGGGCCCAATGTAAGATGGGCTAAATATTAGGCCCATAACAGTTTCCATGGTTTTGTTTTATAACAAGAGAATATAAATTCAAGCTTAATCAAAAAATAAAGTTCAAGTTATATTCATTAAAACTATACCAATTCGATTTCGGAAGAGTCTTTGATCCTCCATTAAACTGCACATGTTTCCTTCTAATGTAGTTGAGTCTCTACAATCCCAAACGACACAAGACATACAAATACCGACAAAGACAGATTTATAAAATAAAAAAAAAAAGAAAGAGAAAAACAAAGGCTGCCATTGAAGAATGAAAGAATATGGTTTGTTTCCAAAGAGCTTTAACATATAATTTTTTTTTTAAATGGGGGGAAAATACAATGGCTTCATCTGTTGTTTTCCTCTCATAAAAATAAAAGTCGCCAGCCAAACATCACCTCTGCATATGCATATTAATTTTCTAGCACGAGTTTATGAACACATAATAGTAATACTAATAATAATATGATAATCCGAACGACACTAAACCCTAACTCACCACTAAAACCCTAATCTCTCCCTCTCGATCAGATTTCAGGCAACCACCACTAAGCCCTCCCCTAGTTTAGAACCCCCCCAGTTCTGCGGATCACAACGTTCCCAGGACAAGAAACAGGGTTTTCTGATATCGAACTTCAGGGCAAAACCAAAAGCAGAATTGGTACCTATTATGCTCGGGATATTACGGTCTGGATCATGCCCGAGTTGAGTTCCTGACTGCCGCCCTTCCTCCTCATCTCTACGATCTTCCGGTGGGAATTCGAGTGCACTGACGGGATGAAAGTCGGGCTTGCGGCTGGACGGTACTCCGGGACAAGCCGCCCCGATCTGAACCGTACCCCGCAGGCGTTGCATAGAGTTTTCGGCCCGTTAGGGCCTTCCCTCCACTGGGGGGTTTTCGTTGTCTCACAGTGAGTGCATTTACGGGTTGTTCCTGATTCTGAATGGGAGGAAGAACCCGGATGGGTCGGGTGGATGATCTTCTTGTGTTTCTTGCGCTTCTTCTTGGCGGGTTTCTCCGAGGGATAGTAGATTTCGGATTCTGATTCAGCTTCTGCAGTGAATTGCTGAGATTTTGCTAGTTCGAATGGTAGGAGAAGTTTGAGTTTCAGAGCTGTGGGGCGTTTGCGTTTGCTCCTCATGCCTTTCACAGGAAAGGCGGTCAGTCCCTTTAACCTGGAGCTTTGGGACGATGAGAAAGATCCGTTGCTGCTGTTCTCGAGGACTGACACTGGGCTTGAAGATTGGAACAGCTTCGAGACTTTAACGTCAGGACATGACAATCCATGGGCAGAGCTATTGATGTCAGAGGATGCTTCAGAAGAACTACACTGTTTCTGCATGCGTGAAAACCAAAGTTTAGCTAACTGGTCAAGGAATGCTGCCAAATATGGTTATAGACACGTACAGACAATGAGATTGATGTCTTGCGTACATAACGAACAAGACATCTTCAGGTTACAGAGATCGATTTCACAACTAAGTACTAAGCTACTCAGTCTAGTCATTAGATAGAATGACGAACAGCCTAAACCCTAAAGCCTAAACCTAGCAGATTTCTGACATAGATAAACTAGAACATAGAATTGGTTCCTACTTGGTCCATATATATTTCTTGTTGCATCAGAAAGAGGATTCGATTCCTTTTCTTGCTCATCTCTAACCTAATATAGTAAGACGTGATGAATGCTGGCATGGTTTGAGCCGCAAAGGCAACATCATTGCCAAATTATTGTCCCGATGCAAATGCACGTCGTATTTTGCGAACAATTTATATCGTAATATGCAAAATGCCTACACATGTATGAACCAAACTAAAAATTACCGAACAGCCTATAACATAACATGTATGATGCATGACGCCAAGTTCGGCGCACCACGAGATTCAATCTTTTTCTACCCTAATGTGGTAAAAAACTAATGAAAGCAAACGTGTTTTGAGCAGCAACGCTAGATGCAAAACCAAATCATCAGACCAACGCAAATGCATATTGTATTATGTGATACAATTTACGACGTAATATGTACAATGGCTATAGACGATGGACCAACATCAAAAGGAACGAACAACCTATATGGTACGATCTACGACGTAACATGCATATGTATAATGCCTACAAATGTGAGGCCCAAGGTAAAAAGCAACGAACAATCTATATGATATAACATGCATAATGCATACTGGCTTGTGTAGTTGCACAACACACTCTTCACTTTCGTAAATCTAATGCCGCACGCAAGGTGATGTGGTTTGAACCAAAAAAGGTAACAGCCATACGAAATTGATCGTCCTAAGGCAAATGCATGTAGTATATTGTGCATGAACAATTATGATGCAACAATACGCAAAGGGCAAAAGCAAGAATTCACCAAGATCGGTATGGGCTTGTGATCTCCCTTGCTAATGCCATTGCCGCCACAGTTGAAGCCAGAGGACAAACTCGAGAACATATCCATAGGCGGAGGCTCGAGGCCTTGAAACCCGGCATCCCAATCTCCCTCACCATTCCCACTTTCCACATCTTCCAATGGGAAATCAGTATGGTTCATGAGATCGTCGAAGAAATCATCCGAGAGGCCTTGGAAGTCCACCTCGGGTAACCAAGGACCGTTATTCATGGTTCACACTTCTGGATATCGCACTGAGAAACATAAACATGGTCACGAAACACAAGTAAGAAAACGGGCGATTTGGTATTATTACAACAACAACTTAATACACCAACAGCAAAATATCTGCAAGATTCTGAAAACACCCAAGGTTCAAAAGTGAAAATGAATACCAAAATCCACAAGAATCAAACCGATGATTGATTGTTTCATCAGTTAGGCATCACATACCCAAATCATCAGTTAATGCTTGATTAACCTGGTTCTTGGAGTGTAATATTACGTTTGAAGGGATTGCCAATTTGTCATACGAAATATTTAGGCATGAATCGGCAAAAACAGGAACGACTACAAACGATGTCCATTCACGAGTAACACAATTGATAAGTTTTCAGATTCACTTCTTCCAATTGAGCAAGAATCTTCAACCCATAACTCCTTGATTCTGACAGAGGCATACTAAGACAAAAACGTTTTCGAAACATAAATGGCAAAAAATTCGTTAAGTCGTAAAAGAAACCAAACATATATTTGTCTTCGACAAAGATAGCCGGTTCTTAAAGGCAGACGGACGGAAACTTCCCTGTAATATACTAAGTGAGATTATGCAAGGCTCATGAGGAAATCATGAACCACCTCACTCGCATTTCTCGAGCACCAACGAGGTGAGAAATGGAGAGGGTGTTTCCTACATTTTCCCAGTGCCCAAACAGGAAAAGCACAACGGAGAAAACACAGGAAATGCGTCGCAGAAAACCAAGGAAAAATGCCAGGAATTTCCACCTGAAGACGAAGAAGAAGCGCACGAAGAGCGAGAGCGAGAGCGAGAGAGACGCACAAACCTTCCCGTATAGAGAAACACCTAGCTAGAGAGAGAGAGAGAGAGAGAGAGAGAGAGAGAGAGAGAGAGAGAGAGAGAGATTCGTACGAATTTACTTGTCCGAAAATGGGGATTTAGGGATTGCAGGTCCGAAATCGGGAAGGAGAGAGAGAATGGTCGTGAGAAAACACCTAGCTAGAGAGAGAGAGAGAGAGAGAGAGAGAGAGAGAGAGAGAGAGAGAGAGAGATTCGTACGAATTTACTTGTCCGAAAATGGGGATTTAGGGATTGCAGGTCCGAAATCGGGAAGGAGAGAGAGAATGGTCGTGAGAAATGTTACTGTGCGGTAACGTATATGGAGTTTTCAGTGTATGTATGTACACCTTTCTTCTTCTTTTTTCGATATAAAAAAAATTATAAAAAAATCAAATGTTGATGGTGATCTCAAGTTTTCTTCACTTTAAAGAAAATCTGTAATCTACGTTCATGAAATAAATAAATAAATAAAATAAAACCGTAACAAAAAATTAACTGCATGATTGTTTCAAACTTTACATTAAAAATATATGATCACTCCTATATTAATTTTCAAAGTCAAAATTATTATATTTTTTCCTAGATTTATAGAAAAATATCTTAATTTCGGATGATTCATATATATATTAAATCTAAACTCTAATGTATAAACATTAGGTCATTAAATAGATGCAAGAAATTAGACAGACTGTAATGTAATATATATTCTGAATATTAGTGTTATTATTATGACACAAAGGCTGATAGGTTAAAATAATTAAACATGGTAAATTAAATACGTGATAATTGGGGTTATGGTAATAAATATATGGTATGGCATGATTGTGTCGAGTTGTTAGAGGGAAAACAAAATATCAATCAAGCACATGAACGGTCCACATGTCAAATCCCTCGAGGAAGGATGGTTCCGTAGATCAGATCTCAATACTCATTTTTTTTTTAATACTAAATATTGTTATTATCATTTTTTTTTATGAAATTAAATTTAGATTGATATTATTGATAATTTTTTTTAATATATTCCCCAAAGTGAAATGGAGAGATCACCGACGGGACGGAGGATTACGAGATGAGAACCGAAATATAATTATTATTGCGTTTCCTCATGGGAAAGTGGGCCCCTTTCCCCTAACTCTTTGTTTCCATCTCCCACATGATGTGTTCTTTCTTCTTGTTTTTTTTTTTCCTCTCAAAATAAATAAATAAATAAGTCGAAATATGGTAAAATATTTAAAATGTCTTTTTCTTCTCTCCTTTAATTTATACTCTACTCGTATTTTTTTGGGGCTCTCAGAAAACAAAAATCATATGCATTTGCGGCGACATTTATTCAAAATTTTATCCATAATTTATAAATATCACATGAAAAGCATCTATTGTTTTTTTCGAAAATTACTGATGACTCGAAAAAGGGGAAAAAATGTCTTGTTTTAAACTACCGGTATTTCATATCTTTTACAAAAAAAAAAAAATAGTTTTAGATTTTTTTAAAAGAAAAAACTGATTTTATTAGTTATAGCAAGATATGGATGTTTTGGGGTATCTAACAGTAAATTCTTATTTATGGAAGCAATCCTAATGAATATGATGTAGATACATCAAATAAATATAATAATTTTGTATCAGGCATATTTTGTTCTTACTAAATGTGAAACAAATATCTTTTTATGAAGTTACAATTAAATATATGTACAAATGTCGGCAACAAAATATTTCAAACTTGTGTTAAATACCTAATAATCAGCGCCGTGAAAACTACCCATATAAAATTTCAGCCGCATGATAATCAATCAAAGGAAAAAGAAAAAATGTTTTAAAAGTTTTTTTTTTCAATTCTCTTCTTTTTCCACGGTGAATATAAAAAAAGACAATCAAAGAAAAAAGAAAAAAAACGTTGTTTAAAAATATTTTGTTTCAATTCTCCTTTTTTTTCCAGGGTGAAAATAAAATAGTTCATATTTTCCTTATGGAAATAATGATGGATTCGCAGCAGCTTAACAAAAAAAAAAAAAACTTTTTTCTTTTCCACGAGAGGGGGAAAATATTTTGCATTTGGGGACTCAGAACTCCTCAAAATTACTAATTTGGCACAAAGAATGAAAACGATCAAATCTTAACCTTTGAGGTTCTCCTTCGGGCGTTTACAAACAGAAAGAAGAGAAAGAGTAACAAAACCAGCAAGGACACAGTTATGAGCTTCCACAGCTTCTCATCGTCCACTTCTCTGAACATTCTCCCCAACTCATTCTGCAAAAGGAACAAAATGTTACCCTCATGAAAATGTCGACATGAAGACCATACCATATTCCAGCAGTTTAAGCAAACATAAACGCTCCAACGGACGAGAAAGAACATTCTAGATGGTTCTAGATAGAGGGCAAGTTCCAAACGTTTGTGTAATTGATGCAAAACATAAAAGAAAAGAGTTTCAAGAACAAGAGGCTCTGTGCAGATTCTTCTTGATAATGGCTAAGTGCCATTCATTAGATTGCAGGTTTTCAGGGTGACGAACCATTTACGTGGGCAAGATTCAAACCCAGCAGGAACATGTTTACATTGTCCCGAATTAACAGAGTATGAAATGTAGCAATCTAACAGAACATGAAAACCACAAGGAAGTTCTTGAATTACTGGGAACAAAAGGTGTTGCCTTTGGATTGAGAAGAGACTTACCCTTGAGACGAGCTTCAGTGACACTTGTTCATGTTCTTTTGCAAATATTCCTTTCGCATACTTGTAGATCTCCACGTCCAGGTGGTTGAGCGTTATTATCCGCTCAATAACGTCTTCGGGAACCTTTTTTCGTGCCTGCAACAACGTTCAAGAACAAGATATTCCTGGAAATTTTTCTATACAAATTTTCCATGCCACCAATCTCATTAAGTTTACCTGTTCAAATCGTGTAAGAAATAAGAATGTTATAACTCACCTCTTTCGAAAAATTTGCTGGAGAAATCCTCTTTAGGGAATTAACCCGTCTTATTGCTTGAGACTTCCTTAAATTAGAAATGCACCCTTCGTAAACTTCCATAAGGGTTTTGACAGTCATCTAAGATATAATTTATAGAATTAGATTGTTCATTAACCCGATCAGTCATAAATGCAAAAGGAAGTACGGTGTTCTTTAATTTTCGAAGATGTACTCACATTCTCACTTTTTGTTTCTGCCTTATCCAGAGCTACTTCAGATGCATCATTCTATGATGTCGCAGACACTGTTAGAAAAAATATTACCCTAACCGACAACTGAGGAACTGTTGTGATACGGAGTTGGATTATACCTGACGTTCACCATTCCCCGATCTTGATTCCGAGATTTTGACTCTTGGTTCTGCAGCATCAAGAAAATGAAGTTTAGAGCTTTGTGCTCGGGAGCACAGCTGATACAAGTAAAAGGGTAGCTTAAAGAATAATCCTTGCAACTTTCTTAAACTTAAGTTACTCGATTTTCCAGCCACAATACATTCTCTATTAAAATACCTTAAAGAAAGGAGAGAAACCTTACACCGACCTGGTTTAGCAGCTTTGTGCTTTGCAGTGGCATTATTCAGAACAACCCGAGAAAGCACTTGAGAACCCACTACTTCCGCGAAAAGAGATGCAGATTCTCTATGCTCCTCTGTCAGTCCAACATACAGCATGGTGTCCAACCTCCTCTGCATGATTCCAAAGCCTCTATTATCGTATGTAAGATAGGCCAGAAAAGACAAGACGCTCTTATGCAATGGGTTGGGTGAAAATTTTAGTTACCTTAGCAACTTGAAGAACAGTTTCACCGAGGCTTTTAAATTTCTGCACACATCGCCTGATCTTGTGTGCTTCTGATAAATGAGAGTTGTTTGTCAATCCTGCAATCTGTGAAATGAAATAATATGCTCTCGAGCGAACTCAGCTTCAACACCTCAGAAACAAAGCAAAGAAAAGCAGCATGAATATTACCTGAAACGTAGCTCCGTTGTGAATTATGTCATGAGCTATAGGTGTATCGAGATACTCGTGCAATGGCATTAGCATATCCTCCATATCATATGGGTTATTTCCCTCGATTATAACTCCTCCCCTGGCATTCCGTGCATCCCGCTGTTCACATTAGAATGCCTAAGCATGAATCTCCAGCTTGAACATGCACCTTGGTCATAACTCATAAGCTTGATGACGAAAAAAGATGGAATTTACCCGAGCAAACAGGTCTTCTCTCATCCATGGCACTAGATATTTCCATGGCCATATGTCTAGCGTGCTTACTGCATTAGGCTTGCGTATTCGAGCAGACATCACTGTTGCAGAAGTTAAATTGGGATGCACCAAAAACCTAGCTGCAACCTCTACTGAGAATTCATAGGTACTCAATACACGACCAATGGGATCCCGAACTATTGTCATTACTGAAGTTTTCTCCCTTGGAAGCTCTGACATCAAACTATAATCATCATGTGTAGCCAACAATTTGCACCTTGCTTTCCTAAACAATGTAAGAGACTGTCAATCTTAACATTTATTGAAAACAAAATTCTCTATAAAAGCCGAAACCCAGAGAGATTCATAAGAATCTGCTGGGCCAAGATGTAATAAGACAAGTTCTCCCATGGAAATATCTCTGACAGTTAACAGACAAGAATTAGACTGGATGACTATTAGATATCGGCTGTACAATAATTTATAGCAAAACTAATGTGTTTATCGGATGAAATTGTTCCCCTACTTGTTTTTCCCGAAACCTTCTTCTTTTCTTTCATTAGTCTATTTGACAATGCATTAGCTAGCTTGTACCAATTTCATCTCGTTTTTATCAATTTATATACATGGAAATCCGCATTCGTGATCTCGGCATATTTAACACAGAAGCTCTAACTATGCTTCTTGTAGCCTTGTAGTCCATGGGGATTGATAGAGCCCCATTGTATCCAATCAACCAATGGAGATAACAATGGAAGACCAATACAACAGTAGGGTTGATAGACATCAAAGAGAAACATATATAGTATAGTTTGGTGGGACGTACCTCGGATCGAAGTGGAGTTTATCATAAGAACGGGGGCATTCGTCAGTGCTATCATACATCTTCCTCAGAAAACTACAAAAATCAGTAACAAAAAGGAAACATGGGAATTAACACAACGGTCAAAGAAAATTCATTGTTCACTCTTTCAATCTACTGTAAACATCGGTAATAGAATATTACCAGTGAAAATATGTCCTGCCCCCTGTCCGGGGAACATGGAGAAAGAACAGCAAGTCCTGAAGTGAGCGTGTGTTCTCGCTGATGTTTTCTTCAAGAGAAGAAGAATCCGCCCACTTTCTCACAACTCTTTCACAATGAACAAAATCAAGTTCCTCGGCCGAAATGAGAACTGATGTAATCAAGGAAAAATGCATCAGGGAAGTCCATCCCTTATAAACAGAAATCAAACTGAAATGGGCTTGAAACGACATCTCTTGTTATCAATCAAGCCTTTCTCACACATTAACTCGATCTCTCTCTAAGTTTGCATAATCCGCACCAAGAGGAGCTCTACCCAGACGACATGCGACAAAAGGAAAAGAAAAACATTCTTTATGTACCTGAGCCAAGAAGCGTGAAACCCAGAGCGAGCTGAATAGGATCCATTTGCATTGCTCCACTCCTAACTCTGCCGATCAGCACATGAAAAAACAATCAATCCCATTAAAGATTTGAGAAAAATCATTACAGATGGAACTAGAATCACAAAGTTCGTGTCAATGAAGTTCAGAAATAAACTTCAGACAAGAATGTGCAGACAGAACAACATCTTCATAGAAAAAGGCCGAAAAACAAAAGCCAGCGAACTCCAGACCCGAAATAAAACTTCAAGCGAATTCAAACACCAAAAATCGAGCAGAAAGGGGGGGGGGGGAACACAATCAATTAGGCCAATCGTCGAAACAAACGAAACCCAGGGAGAGAAAGGTAATATAATCTCAGAAAAAAGCATCCCGAAATGTCGCTTGTGCACATACATAGATGGGTTGAAACTGAAATTCCAAAACCGGGACAAACACCAAACATGAGGAGATCAAGGGACCCGAAGAATCCGAATGATGAAAAACAGACAGGAACCAGAAAGAAAAAAGACAGAGGAACATGGAGAGCGGAGAAATTGACCGACATGTATCGGGAGTCGAGATCTCGTGCTCATAAAACCCGTCGATCGCTGTTGGGGCTGTTCCCGGCAAACCTCGTTAACCCACGAAAAAGCTCGAAACAAAGGGCTTTCACTTTCCTGTTACATCGAAAGAAGAAGAAGAAGGAGGAAGAGAGGAAGCTGCTTCCGAGAATCGAGATTTTCTCCGGCTGTCTCGCACTCACTCGCAGGGCCAAACAAGCGTAAAGAGACGCACTTTACAAAATATAGTGGGAAGAGCGAAAATGGGGGTTTCTCGTATTTGTAGTACGTAGGGGTAGAATCGACCAACTCTTTTTTTGTCTATATAAATATATGGAAAGCAAATAAACCTGTCTTAAATTAAGTCTTTAGTCAAACAAAATAAAAAAACGTAACATACCATTAGAAAATTGAAATTATATATTACTTTATTGAGAAAATCGATTTCACATCAACCAATAAAAATTATAAAATAACCTTATCCGTACCACGTGGAATTTCACATTTAAATATAGACGAATATTAATTATTTTTTTTATCAAATTAAAATGTACTAGAATCTTACTTGTTAGCGTGCATAAATGTCAATTCCAACAAAAATTAATAGTAGCATCTAATAATATCTCTAACGATATTTTTCTATATCTCTACTAAAATCCCATAATTAATAAACGCAATAATACCCTTGTAGTTGCGTTTTTATTTAATTTCAATTTCCCCACATTTATCCGTTGCAGTGATTTTGTTTTGTTGCTCCACTAACATTTTTCTTATTGACAAATTTACACATATTATTTATTTACGTTCCCATTATTTATGCCGTTTATTTTAGTTTGTACTCCGTTTTATCTGGAAAGAATTATAGGAAACCTCGACTTGATTTAATTGGTGATAAAAAATATATATTTAAATACTAATAATATTCCTAAGTGTAGTGTCACGCAGTAATCAGTCAATGCGATTGGTATAAACCAAACCAAATTCCCCATCATCCACTAAATTCATTATTTCTTGATACGGTTTAAACCACCATCACCAAACCGAACCGATAACCGCTTCGGAATTCAGTACTCAATTTTAAACCGGTTCTGTTCGATCAAATCAAGTTTTGATTGTTAACAAAATTTGGTAATAGGACACTCAACTAGTCCGAAAACCATGCTTAACCGGTGGTAGAGCACAAAACCAAGCCACAACTAGCAAAATCAAAGTCTCGGGTCAAGAAATTGATGCGGTGTACCAAAGTAAGCCGGCTGATTTGGAAGGGTAACCCGAAGAAGAAGCATGAGCCATACAATGGAGATGTCATAAAACGGAGTACGATAACTGAGTTCCTATATTACTTACAAGCGTTTTGGGTGCTAAGTGGAAGAATGACGATCTATACTTGGCCATAACCTAAACCGATAACCACAAGGTAGAGTCGATTTTCGTACTCAATAGATCGAAAGAATACTAAACCGAGCTTTGATTTTGCTCGGATTTGGTAGGGAGATTCAATCTACGGATTAATTGGTACTGATTTGGAAGCATCAAGATGGTTTAATCGACAAGTCCCGAGAAGATACTCCGGGAGCTCCTCTTCGGTATTTGCCTGCAAATGGAAAAGAAGGGGAAAAAAACATAATGTAAAACCCGAATGTGTGGTTAAGTTCTCAAGATTATTCCAAAACCGGGGACTGGGAAGACCGAATGGAGACAACCGGTTTACCTGTACCAAGAATGCCATTTCAATCACGAGATTGTTCAGGTAACCAAGAACAAGGCTCACAACTCCTCTTGCAACAGTTGAGGATCCAATATCAACCCCGAGCTGAAACAGTAAACAAGTTTTATCCTAGATCAGAAGACTATATATCAACCCGAAATTAAATATTTAAACTTTAAGTCACAACAAATGATAAACACTTGTATTCAGTTACCTCAATATAGTTCTTGCCCCGAAAGTAATTCAACTCCAAGGCCTGACCAATGAGGCATGCTTTCTTTCCAACACTCTGTTTAACTATCCAAGAGCCCTGAGGTTCTCACAAATTCATGTCGTTGGTGAAAAAAAAAACGAAACTAAAAAGAATGTCAAGAATCCGAAAGTAGAGGGCAATGTTTCACTTGCCTTGGATATGTAAGGAATGAGCTTGAACCTAGAGTTTCTGTATGCATCATCCCCATTCACAAAGCTATATAGCAATGGATGCTCTTCGATGGGAGCGCTCATCATGTAATAAAGCACGAGACTATACGTTGTTGAACCAGGAACCTGATTCACAATTACAAATTTTCATTTATCTTATATCTTGAATAGGAAGGATGAACAAGAGAGCAAAATTTCTGAAGGCGTGAATTGGGCGTGTATGTTTACCTGTATATTCACTATAAAGAAGAACTCAGGTCCACCTTGTGCAGCATATTTCTGTATAATTCAGAAGCTTTTTAAAAATTCTTTCTATAAACAAAATCCATACCCGAAAAATGGACATCTTTCAGAACCAACAATATCAACTAGAACCACCTGGACTATGCCTCCTGGATGGCTCCCGAGATCATCCTCCCGTTTGTCAGACTTTAACCAGTCTGCTGCCACCATTTTCAGCAGTGTGCCCTTTGCCTTGACCTGAATCGACCACAAGAAGAACATGACTACTTAAGAAAGATGAACGAACACATACGTATTTAAGCGATTGTCTAAAGCATCAAGTTTTTGACACACAAAAAAAGGGAATGTTAGTTTTTGGACCTTCTTCCTGTCTTCAAGATAAGTATTTCCTCGAATAAGAAAAGTTGAAGGGTCAGTTTCTGTCCAACTACAAGGCACACTGCAAGTCAGGTCATTCGGAAGGGTGGTGCCATAGCAGCAAGGCATACTACTCTCTTCCCTCGTCATTTCATGCAGTTCCACATAGCCTCTCTTCTGAACTGCACGACACATGCTTCTCAAACCATGAGAACAGAATGAAAAGAGACCGACCAGTAAGAGCAGGATTTATCTGTGAAACGAGGATCACCAGCAAGATCATGCAACTTTTTCACTAAACTCGCAGCGCCCGTTAGTTTTGGGTGATGGGATTCCTGCATTAGGCAAAATGAAAAATGAAAAATCCATCCCTTGAGCAATTCCCATGAAGAAATAAATGTGTGGGGTTGTGCTACCGGACAGCATGTATCCAAATCGAAATCTGAGGTCCAGCTGTCATCAGAATAATCATTATCTGATGGCTCAGGAACATCAAAAAACTCATCTGCGGAATCATTCAAGTCCACAAGGCTAGAGTGTTCTGAGGGAAGCTTATCCATCTCTTCATTTGTGATCTCCTTAAACCTTCCACTCTCTTTATGAGAAGAACTACCAATGGCACCATCTTCTAGGTTCGAGTTCAACCTTAAGCTTCTTGATAACTCACCTGATGAAAGAACTGAAGTAGGAAAGCTTCCGTGTTTTGCCCTGAACAGTTCTCTCAGGGCTGAGGTAAAAATTCAATGTGTCCGGTCAATTTATGTGGATGAAATGACGTAAGTGAAGTGTTGAGGGTAAAATGATGTCCATTAAGAGAGTAAAACATTACCAGAAATTCTTCCGAGCATTCGTACAGTTATTGATCTAGCTAAGGACGGTTTCAGATAAGATCTCCAGGACTTCCAATCAACAGCAAGCATATGCTTCACAACTGATTGCTTTCCATTTTTAACAGGAGATATCACATAACCACCACCTGTGATGCAAAGGAAAATTGTCATACTTTTTTATTCCCTGACTAAATTTGAAGTTGTAACTCAAGAAATGAAAATGAACACTTGTGAAAGATTCTGAGATGAGATGCATTAGATCCAAAATGAAAGGATGCTAAGGAAAGCAAAATATATTCTTCAATTAAACTTGAAACAAAAGAAGACTTTTTTTGAACAGCTTTTTGGGTCTAAGGTTTCTGCCTTATTTACAAGATTTTCTAACTAATGGTAAACCCTTAGAAGACATAATGATTCATTCGACTGAATGGCACAAAGGAAAGCTTAATGGTCAGTTTGCACAGTGAACATGTTTCCATTTTACTTTAAAATTAGGCATACATTACTTTTAAGGCACGCACGGATATAGCCTTTCTGAGACGGACACTTCTTGTGAAAGACAGAATGGTAGAGAATAACTGCAACAGAATGAACAAAAAAATGAATCAGGTTAGTCCCAACAAATTGATTGCGGTATTATCTGACATAAAATATCACAAACCATAAGTTCCATCGTCTTCCCGTCTCCAGTAACGACGCAGCAAAAGATCTCTTCTTTGCATACCCCTGTCACTTCAATAAGTCAACTACAAGAAACATATGCGCAAATTCTAGCATAAAAGTGTTGGCAGAGAAGTTGAGTAGCAAACCAAGGTAACCAGTCGCTATATAACTTTTTGTGAATTATATCGGTATGGCCATCAAGATGCTCGACCACACTGCCCTTGTAAAAACAGAAGTCCCATCTGCCATTCTTTCATGAAATTAGATACGGAAACAAACAAGGCAAGTATACTTGTTAAAAGAAAAATGTACTAAAAGCAGCATTCCCTCTACGGTCTTTACTGTCTCAAATTTGGCTTCTTTGTACATAAAGATTTTTTTTTAGAGTAGCAATAGATACTTACTCTGATCTTGAGTTTCCAAGAGACATAAGTGTTTCGAAAATAGCTTCAGATGTTCCATCAACAATCCCAACAGCCATGATAGCTGGATGATCATCCCACTGTTACGTCAGGCAAAGCAAAACATCAAAACTGAACTCTTGGATTTTTGCAAACAAAGACTAAGGAGGCTACTTACCCTTCCATGTGAATCTCTCTCTTTTGCCTCTTTAAAAAGCCGAAGCCCTGTAAGCAATCCATGATTAAACTAGTTTCACTTTACCAAGAAAAAGAGAAAGTAAACGTCCAGAGTTTTCAGTTTACCATTTTGACAACCGAATATAGTCCAAGGGGAAGGAGCAATAACATCATTCGCAATGGGGTCCACTCGTGCAGATGAACGGATCGTCCAGTCAATAGAATTTGAGTGATAGTCCCGAACTGAACTACTCAATCTGCTTGTATGAAAGACGGGTCTTAAACAACCTTAAAATGGTAGGTGCTAAGTAAACTCAAGAAATGTTTCCAGTAGTGCAATGCATAACAGGATCCATTACATGTATTTCCTGTCAGGTCACCGACTGTCGGCTAGTTAGTAGTTATCCCCGCCAACAGTGAGCATATAAACTTACAGATATTTTCCGTTGGATAGATCAAATCTCAGAAATAAAAGTACCTCAATGAATCCCATCGGCTCCTGGAACAACTAAAAACGTCTCCCGGGAAAGGTGTACCCTGCATATAAGGTAAATTTAAGTTTCTACCCCAGATAGAGCAATCCTCAATACATGAACAAAAACCTTATAGAACCTTTAAAGTTGCATCTTTAATGGAATTGATCCACTTGGCTGCTTCCTCAGGACTGCTTGCTCCCAGCTATATATTAAACCAGGATACGATACACATGAAACCGGGTGATTGTCACAGAAAGTTTCAACGAGAAACAAGGTAAATTACCTTACCTTGAGTTGATCATTGTGATTAGAAGTATTGTATAGTGTGAATATAAAGAATACCTACATGTAGTAAAACGAACCATCATTACAAAAGCATCAACAGCACAAACTCACTAGAGCCTTCAGAATAGATTAGACCACATCCCAAATAAATGTACAACACAAATTTCATACTTTTCTATGAACACTTTCCCTTCCGTTGTCAATGACCCGGATACAAGAATCTATAACTGCACTTCTTCCAGCACCCTGAAAAACAAATCAAGGTTCTGCTTAGTATAAGCACATGGTAGAACTACCATTACTCTGGTGCGAACATATCAAACCCAATTATCCATTGCTTATACTCTGATGAAACAAAAACACAGAGATACCAATGAAGAACACAGAGATTGCCATGTCGTGTCGTATAATGCTACAGATATCAGAACTTGTCATTACATATCACATTCTCTGGACAAAAAAGACAACCATTAACATGGACTGAAGCGTGGTCCTAAACTACAATAACCAAGGGCATCATAGATGTTACATGGGCTGTTCAGTCGACAAAACGTCTATTTGTTACCCTGCAAACAATCAAACTATGAAGTATATGTAAAATTTAACAGGACAAAACTTGAGAAACCAATCCGAAAACGAACCAATAAGATAATCTGCACGACAACCCCAGAAGCAGCAGAAACAAATGGGAAAAACTCGGAAGAATGATCAAAACCATTTACAACAAAAATGCGATAAATCAATACGGGTGAAGAATGTCATGACCTTAGTTTTTGAATCGGAAGCTGACTTGAAACTCTTCAGGAGATGATCTTCGAGAACAAAGTAGCGTTTTCTCGAGAATTGCAATATGAATCGGTTTGAACTAATTATATACAACCAACCCTCCATCTTAGTCTCGCTCCCGTTCTCAGACCCAAACGCCATTGGAGGAGAAGTTCCAGAGAGAAAGGAACCCCCCCTCCAGAATGAACACTTCCTAGCTTAGACCACCGATTTTCTAACGGACCCCAATAACTTTCGTGAATTCCTAGAAAGTTTTCCAACGAGCAATGAACACTTTCTGTCCAACCAAACAACACCGTAGACACCTGAAGACGAAAAACAGCACAACCCACAAGAAGAAACCGAAGGCCAACCTCTCTGAAACTCCCGAAACCCTAGAATTATCTTCGCAATACACAAATCTATCTCACTTCCCTAACCAGACCGAATCCGAGAAAATCGAAAACATACCGTTAAAAAAAATTAAAAAGTTCGAAACCCGAAAGAAAAACCAATCAAATTGCCAAAAGGAGACCAGGACGACGGTGATTCTCTGATCACAACCGGATTCTACGAGGACGAGAGACTTAAGAATTCAATCGACTCTCTCTCTCTCTCTAAAATTGCAGTTTTCTCCATGAGGAATGAAAAACTGAATTTGGAGCATATGGGCAACGTGCAGACAGATTTTGCGGACGACGAATGATATGAATTTTTACGAAATGACGTTTTTACCCTTTTCGTTTTCCCCGAAGCTCCAACCCTCAAATCTTTAATTAGTAGGTTGGTACATTTTACTTGCGCGCATCAATAATCATTGCTATACTTTATCCGTAATTATTATATCTTTTGTCCAATAATTTATATTTTATTCCATCAAAATCTATATCAAAGTTTCAAATTATTTTTTTCCTTACATATTACGCACATTATTAAACTGAACATATTACACCAAAATCAAATAAACTGGTTAGATACGATTCAGGTTGGATATATATCAATTTACCTTGATAATTATATATATATATACATATATGATGATATCGTCAATATCATATAATGTATTACTATGTATTGTATTGTTCTGTACATCCAAGTAGATCTAATTAGATCCAAATATTTTTATTGGGATCCACTTGCTCTTTTACACATTGTGATGCCACTGTCACTTTTTGAAATTGTTAAATAATGCAGAATCAATATATATATATATATATATATACGTGTTGTAATGAATCAAATTGCATATATATATATATATATATATATATATGTATATGATTAATCTTAAGCGCAATATTTAGATATAAGTTCAGATGATACTTAGAGTTATTAGCTTTTATATAATTTGTTAAATTAGGTCCATTTGACAATTGACATGATGCACAAGCTTATATATATATATTGGTGTGTGCCTGTGGAAGTTTAGACATGGGTTTCTGAAATAAGCTAGGTTGCGGCTGCAGCAGCTATCATTGGTTCTATAGAATACTTTTTATATAAAAAATCATTCAAATAGATGATTATTAAATTTGGATATTATATACAACCATATAGAAAAGCAAATAAAAGATATATGTAGTCATGTATATATATAAATAAATAACAATGTATATTATGTAAACGAATCAACAAATTGAACATTTCATCCGCTCTATATATATAAAGATATATATCTGTTTCATATGTGATATTTGTATCGTATTTATTCGAGAAACACATCATTTTGTATACTAGAAGATTGGCTATACAAAATTATAGAGGATCGTAAAATACAATGATATTGTGTACGTTGCATCATAGATATCATCTCATTATTTTCTCCATGAAATTTGTATTTTAAGATATAGTTTGTAAAGCTTGTAAATTCACTATAAATAATGCAGAATCGATTACAAAATAAAACTGAAATTGAGTATACCTTATTTTAATGATTTTAAATACATCATTATTATAGTTTTTATTATTATTATCATTATCATTATCATTATTTGTAAGCAATACAATGTTTATGATGAGATGTCAAAATGCAACTCAATGATAACTCAATGATGTTCATGTTCATACCTCCCAATTGCAACACAGCTAAGAAAAAAAAAAGAGCCAATTAAAATCTGCAATGCAATCATAAATAATCAATTATGAATAATCAACAAAACATATGAACCCACATTAGCCGCCACAAGATTGAGTTTGAAACCCATGAATTTTCCCATGAACCTGTCAGTTTCGATTGGTTTATCTGCTCTGCGTGGTCAGCTATTGCGTAGGGTCGGGAAGTTTACTGTCGGTATACCGACTGTCCGGTCTTAGGGTTAGGACGGTTGAGATCCGGCCCGAAAGGTCGTATGGGGTTTCACGGTTATAAAAAAAACATATGAACTCTGTATATTAAATAAAAATCGGGTTGGATTTTATTTTTTGAGTAGAGTGCCGCGGCATTTGGCCCGAGTAGCTGGCAGCTAAACATGTCATCATCATCATCATCGTCATCAACATCATCATCATCACTTTATGGAATCACATTTTATTTTGTATTTTACATGCTTTTCTTATTTAAGTTTTTTTTAATAAACAAAATAAGAGGCCTTCATTTTTCGTAGGTATTGTACTTTAATGGATGAACCCATATTAATCTACGATATACTAATTACGTTTTCATCTTGCGATAGCCAGTGATTTTTGTTTTGGTTAAAAAAAAAAAGAAAGTTTAATAATTTGAGAATAACTGTTACACCAACAAGTAATTCAGAATGTCCATAATTTCAAATAAAAACATATAATATTATGCATTGTACTAAATTTTTATATTTCATCCATCCAAATTAATATATTTATAAAAATAAACCCAAAAAGTAAAAAAAAAACATACTGCTTAATTAAATTGGTTTAAGTATATCAAAGCATATTCCATAAAAGAATATAAGGAGGACAAACAACAAAACACTCAATAATAACACGTAATCTTGAAACTAAAGCATTCAACGATTGCGACAGGAAAAGTGACGTATAAAGAAATTGGTAATTTTAGGAATGGGTCCTTATCTGACCAATTAATTAATTAATTAATTAATTTATAAATAGATTAATTGCGAATAAGAAGAAAAAGACAGATAATAATTTAATGGTAATATAGAGTAAGCAGTTGGAGACTTGTAACCAAGTCGAAGATCAAATTCAAGACAAGACAACAAGACACAAACTAACACATATTTATATATAAAACATAATTATTATTTTTTAGGAAATTAATTCAGTAATTATTATATAATAAGTTTAAATTTAAATTGGAATTTTACCATATAATTATATAAAAGGAAAATTCTACATTGCTCATCAACTCCTTTGGGATATTTCTTCTAAAAAATTGCTAAAACGTATACACACATTGAAATAATTAGAAAAATTAACGCTGAAAAGTTAATAGAAGTTTTAATAATTGGTAAAAATAAATGTTTCAATATTTGGGCTTTCTTCTCATCCTTCTTCAAGCCCAATGACATTAACCCATTAACAATTATCAAACTAAGGCCACATTTATATTTTACAATAATAAATAAGAAGATTATTTTAACCATATCTAGCTTCTTTTTTTCTTGGCTCATATTTTACAATTACAAAATATTTTTTTTTCACCATATCTGAATTTTCTTTCGGGTCCAAAGATTTTCTAAAACCTTTTTACCTTTTAAAGAACTTGAAACAGGATATGAACGTATATAAACATAATGTTTTGTTGGACCAAAAATAAAAGACATGGCTTTTGCATAAAACTCTGAACATTTTTAGAAACTTGCTGTACAAGAAACATACATGAGAAAGAGATGACGAAAACGACAAAACCAAACCCTAGCACCATGAAGCCCCAACCACAGGCTTTAAATTATCTTCTTTTTTTTTTCAGCAACAGTTGGACGAGCCCCTTCTTTTTTTTTTTTGTTCGCACTATTTTTTTTTTGGCTTCTCTATGTACTTTGAGTTGTGGAGGATGGATCGATCAAGACCGGCGGCTTTACATGTGCCACGCAGAAGGATTCGAACCGAGGCTCTGTCAGATCGACCGCCTCATCTTCGTTATGGCTGTTCTTCTCTCTCTTCTGGTCGGAATATGGCATCTTCAAAGAGCAAAAACGAAAAGGGTAAGGCTAAAGCTTTAGCAATCTTTCGAAAAAATATTCCGCCATCATTCATCTCGATCCAGAGAGTTTCAGTTTCAGATGCCTTTTTCACTTCAGAACAAAGTTCAGGCCGCCAAATGGTGAGAATAGTGGTGTGAATGTACCTGGAAAAGATTGGCGGGGAAATTTCTACGTCTGGAAGTGTCGGGTGCGATGGTCGAGAGGATCTGGACAACCTCTCTCATTGTCGGGACGAGAATCTGGATCCAAAAGCAAACACTCTT